TTTCACCTGAGGACAGTGGCTTGCGTTGTGGCCGAAACGTCGTGAGAATTATTTTATTACTTCCCTTCTACGTGACTTTACCGAAAGAACCAAGAAGATTTACCATTTCTTCTTTGTTGGTCAGCTGGCGGTACTGGTACTCGTAATCGCGAGCCAATTCGTCGTAGAATTTATCCCAGAGAGCCTTCGTATCTGCTGGCATGGAATACAGCAGAATCGTAGCGAAGAGTTGACGAAGCTGGTACGGCATCTGAAAGAGCGAGGCTTCTTCCAGACACGCAACCCATTCGCGATCCCTCTCAAGGTAGCCTGCTCGCATGGCTGCTTCCAGCGGTTTGTTTTGTTTTATTTTATTCGTAACGCACCATCCATATGCGCTCCACCATCCACCATGTCCTTGCATCGCAAAGACACAGCTCCGGTGTGCGTCAGCGTGTGCGCCATCCACAGTGACATTGGTCAGCAATTGCACCGTTCCGATCGCACACAGGTTGGCCCCTGCATCCTCCGTCTGTATGTACACACACAGACAGATCCGCTATGGGGCCACCTATTTTTTATTATATTAAAATGTATTTTGTTGTTGTTTTAACGTTTACGTATTCCCATTGTGGGTGTTTTACATATGCATCAGATTTTTGGGTTCCTCACATATGGTATCAGAGGTGTGGGTCACTCCATTTCTCAATCGAACAATAACGGGGATCGTTTGAGTTATGACAGCTTGCAGATAGAAACATTGCATGATCGTATACTAATAATGACATAATTTGTACCCCAGTGGAGGGCATACCCCACCCGGCGCTTCTTACCGGTACTGTGAGACTTACAAATCCAGACCTCTCCTCCTCCTGAACCGTTCACAATACCCTGTGGTAGTACCATAATCATCTCAAAAAAGCGATCACTTTCCAATGGCCATTTTGATCCCGGGAGTTACCCAGGTGGTGTCGCACTGTACTCATTGTCTTAGCATGTCGCAAATTCCGATATGGCTTGTGCAACGGCCAGAGAGTGACAGCGGCGGGGGCCAGGCTGCAACCTTTGTAGACAGCTTATTACATTTCAAAGTGCATGGGATTGGCACTCCAAAACATGATAAATGTACAGTAACGCCAACTGCATCCGTGGCAAACATGATACACGGACACATGCTGCATATTATGCAACACATGCCCTTACCAGCAGCAGCATGCCGTCCATGGAGACGTGATGAACGTCAATAAATAATAATGGTAATAAGCCGGATAGTACCCATTGTACCCATCAAACAGTCAGCTGGGTTGCCCCATGGGGGTATTGACCCATGTGCGAAACTGTAGGGGTGCGCTACGCAACTGGCCGTGGTCCCGGCAGGTGAAGCTGCCAGCTCAGTCCGCTAAGACTTACTGTATAGCACCCCTGCCTACTCGTAAGGTAAAGTTGTTTGGGGACTCCACTAATCGCAGCACGCAGCACCCATTTTAGTACATAAATATACGTAATATTAGCGTAACTACCATTCGCACACTTGCATACACACCACACTCACACAGCGCAGGGTCTGCGCCCACAGTGCACTGCAGCACTGCGGCGCAGACCTTGCCAAACCTATGCTATCGCTCTCTTCCGGGCGTGTTAATTATTTATTTTTATCGAATCAAAGTGAGCTGTGGCTTTTTGCCGGCTGTTTTATTTTCATCGAATCAGAGCGAGCTGTTTGGGCGGGTCCGTAAATAAATTAACGTCCAGATACGCACGCAGACGACCAAACCAGCGTAGTTGTTTAAGATGACATCCGAAATAATAGTCGCGGACGCTCCGGAATCGACCAAAATGCGCACGTCCACACCTTGTATAGACCCCGGTACAGTGGACGAACCCGTAGCGGCCGCGACAAACCTCCGTGCCAACTTGCGCCACTGCGTCACCGAGCGACAAGGCTCCGTCGATGGCCCCTCCTCAACAACAACATTTGAATCGCGCAACGAAGGTGATGGGTGAGGTGCAAAGCCTTGCCGGGTGTCTGGTGCGTGCCGACTTGCCTGTTTCGGAGGTTCCTTGGTCGGCTTGTCCGTTGATGAGGCCTCCTGTTGCGGCGGACCCGGGATGCGGGCCCAGCAGTCCTTTGCGTAGTGGCCCCTCCGCCCGCAGCGGAAGTATTCGACGTCGTTGCGCCGAAGCGCAGGCCTTGTATCCCGCCGGCCCCGTGCCGGTAGTGCAGCGCGCGGGCCCGGCCCGCCGCGTCCCGACCATGGACCGGAGGCGGCCGTCAGCTCCTGAGGGCCCCCCCCATCCGGCACGTAGACCGCCTTCGTAGGGTCCCAACCCAGAGCGCCACCCTCTGCGACGGGCCCCCCCGTCCACGCCGTGACTTGTTTCCACCGTCGGAGGTTGAATTGTGCATCAAGACATTTTGCCGCCGCCCGGGAAGTGAGCTTCTCATGCCCACACACAGGAATGGGAATCCCAAGATCCCGAGACAGCTCGAGCATCTTGCCCAAGATGAGAGGCTCGAGCAGTTCAGGTGTTGTCTCTGGATATGCGGCCATGGCCAAATCAAGCACCGCACCCCTGTATGCAACGGGCGATTCATCGGGCGCTCGTTGTCGTTGAGCAAATCGCCGATGCGCATCGTCAGGTGGCTCGTAGGTGTCGGCCATTTCTTCAAAAACTCCATATAATGTCTTCTTCTTTTCGGCCTTTATGGAACGAAAAAATCGAACTGATTCGTCGTCCAGAAGAGTCGGCAACACTTCTAAGGCCTCAGCATCGGTCCACCTCGCCGAAAGGACCGCCGCCAAGAATCTGCAGGCGAAAGCACTCCAATCGCCGCCGATGGCGAATTCCTTGACTGTGGTAAGATGGCGACTCCGACTTCTCTTTACGCCGCCCTCCACCGATGGCTCCTCCGGTGGTAAATTCAAAATGGCGTCGAACCGCGGCGTGGTCAAGATGGTGGTTTCCCGCCGCGGAACGCGCAAGATGGCGGCCTCCTGCCGCGTGGCCGATGGCGTCGGAAGCGAAGACAACGTGGCGGCCTGTGGAGCACTCTCAGCTCTCACCGTCGCCGCCTTTGGCGTGACGAGATGACTCAACTGCGCCAGGACGTCCTTGAGAGTCTCCAGTTGCTCCGCCATCTGCTGCCATCGCGGATCAGCGTCCGATGTTGTTGGCGGGCCCGACACCACGGCGACATCTTCAACTCCAGTCCCCGCGCTCGTTTCAGCAAGGCTCTCCTCCACCACCCCAACAGAATCCATGGTTGGAGGGAAGTCGTCGTCGTCGGACGAAGAAGCCGATGCTGGCGCCGGAATAGTTTTCTTTCTCACTTGCTTCGACATGCCGTTGCACTTCTGACAGCAATGTAATAAAAGACTCGACCACGATGTCTGGCTTGGTGTCCTTTATTCGGTTCGTTTGCTGTCTCCCACACGGCTGTCCTCCTTTGAGACTTTCCACACGGTGCCGACGCTGTTGTTACACCCGTCACCGCTAACAGCCCCGCTGTTGATCTCCGCCGTTCCTGTAGCCTCTTAGCAGCCTCGCTGCTGTTACCCTCACGCAGCCCCCCTGGCTGTACTCGCTGCAGCTTCTCCTTGTGTCGCTCCCGTAGCCTCGGACAGCCTCGCGGCTGTTTCCCTGTCGCTCCCGTAGCTCCTAGCAGCCTTGCTGCTATCTCCCATACACAGCCTCCCCGGCTATACTCGCTGCAGCTCCTCAACCGCTCTCTCTCTCCAGCAGCCCCACTGCTGTCTCCTCCCGCAGCTCCGCTGTTGCTCCCTTAGTTGGTCACCGCTGGCCGACGGCGCCACTCTCCCCTAGCTTCGCCCTACGTGGCCTTACCCTTGCTCAGTCTCCCACTCTCTCCTCTCTCCTTCCGGTTTCCTCCCCTAAGGACCCGAACCTTGCTCCCACGTCACATAACTCCACCTCCTCGTGACGTCATATCCGGGAGGTCGCTCGCGCCCGCATTACACATGTAATAGTGATGGGTTCACATGACAACTGGAAAAAAAAATAGACTCTTGAATTGGATGACTTAGTCACGTTAAGTCAGCTGACATAGGATTTAACACGTTCCTGAAATGCTATAAATGTTCTTCATTTTTGTCTTATGAGCACTTAAGTAGATAAAAAACAGTCACCCATTCTGGGTGCCTGTACAGACACGAAAACTGAGTTCTTTGTGGACCAACCAAGAGGCAAAATTATCGGTCTTCTCAACCATTAAAGGACTAAATACAAAAAACTAACCTACACACTCTTCAGCTCTTAAAGACAAATCATTGCTTTGCTCCGTCTTATCAATTCAAGAAATTAACAAATTTCGCCCTACAAATGTATACGTACCAACTTATGCTAAGAGCCAGACTGCGGTAATTGTATTTGGAAAATCTCGTCGCTACACAGGAGATTCCTCTTTCATACTGAATCCAACACCTCAGCAGTGCCACTTCTGTGTCCACACAGCCATGAACCATTGAGCCAAGTGTCTTGATGCTCATTGCCATGAGCATCAAGACACTTGGACATAAGAGAATGCATATTTGGCAAAGACTTAGAATGTTTGTGCTTCTTAAACCCGGATCCCTAAATTATAATCAGCCATGATGATTTTGGCGGTTATTAGATCATAATTGACCACACTGGATGGTTGGTGGCTTCAAAAGTAATTTAAAGTTGCAAAGCTAAATATAAGATGTCTATGGTAATTCAAATACAGTATATGCACCTCCACAACAAACAATACATATGTAGAAGTAGACTTCATGGCAGCGCAAAGTTATGCCCACATGACATGACTTCACCATGCTGGTCATTGCGGATCGGTGAAGTCGGGGGAGCATAGACAGGGGAGCATAGATGCACAGCACAACAATGGATATTCCTAGAATTGCTCTCTGCTTGCCCACCTATTGCAACTGATTTCATTCATTTATTGCAGACCTCGCGGGTGGTCTGCAGAAACCGTAACCCATAATGCCGACGGTGCACAAGCTGTACGCTAGAGCATGCACCTTGTCCTGGATAGGGGTGAAGATGCACGCGAAATCGTCAGCCACCGGCTGCTCCCCCAGCCCCAGACAGCAGCAGATGGCTCCGAGCTCAGCGCTGAGCTCTCCCTGCGCTGGCGGTGCCTGCTGGGACACCTGCCTTGCCCTCAGCACGCGCGCTGCCTGCAGCTCCGTCGCGAGGAACACTGTGCACGGCAGTGAGGGACACGGTGACACACTACAAGGAGGGAGACATTGATGTGCTACGCCCGACTTCCATGCCTCTGCTAACTCCATGCCTGCCCACCAGTGTGGTCTCACACCATGCGCCTCACCCGTCTCACCTTCTCTACCTCCAGCCCCGACCCTTTCTTCACTGTTCACCCCTCTCCTTTGTATCTTCCTCCTCAGCCATGCAGCTTATCTCTGCTGTATCCCCCATCCCACCCCTGTCCTAATCCCCACTCTTTGTTTATAACCAGAAGGACCTCTTTGTTTTACGCTTGCTCTCCATTTAATTATTATCCTTTAATGTGGCTATTTAATAGTTATCTTTCCTACTTCCTAGGCCAATATCTGCCTTCCCCATGTCCCCTACCTCCCACCCCTCTTGCCCATCACCTATAGCTCTCGCATCTCTCGCTGCACTGCCACCTATTCGAGCAGGGCAATTGCCTTTCCACCACGCGGGTGCTGCTTACAGAGGAGCTGCAGGCAGGGCTGGGCCGAGCTCAGCCGCTGCGTGGCGTCACCAGTGGTGAGCGCCGGGTACGGGCAGCACAGCTCCGCCATGAGACCGCTCACCTCCAGCTGGAAGGTTTCCGCCTCCTCGGGATCTGTGTTCCACAGTCCACAACACGGTACACAACCCGGTACATAACTCAGTACACAACACAGTACACAACGTAGTACAAAATGCAGTAAGTGTCATGTGAGTATCGCTCCCCATTCAAACACGAGCACCCCAAAGTTGGAGCAACCCTGTGCTAAAACCGCTAAATCATAATTAAAAACAGTTATACATTGTTATTCTTGGCTTATTACAAGTCACGTGCTCAAACCGAATATGTGCTCAGGTTAATCCGAAATCCATGCGATAACCTATAGAGTACAGTCGTTGCATATCTTTGCAACAGTGGGCAGAGTTTGATGTTGATTGGCGTGGCTCTGCTGCAATCCACTTAGTGGGCCAAGTCTTCTGTGCGGGAGCAGGAAAGTGTTTTAATTACCGAGGACACGCATCGGTCGGTCGTTCGTATTCGTTCTTAATCGAAACGGTAACAATCAATATCGTCAGTTGTGCTTCATTTTGAGTGATTCATCCCATCATTCATTTTGTGAGTTTTAATTTACGAAACTCTGCGATGGCAGAGAAACTTAAACTGAATTTGTACCTATATTAGTGTTTTTGGCAGAGATCCGTGGAAAATTTATATTTTTAATTAATTGCGATTTTTTTATTATCCGCGGGCATCCTCACCGTAACTAGCGCAGAAAATTATCGAGAGTCAACTATATCTGCAAATCGGGTAGCTTCCATTTTACCATTCTGAAGATAATTTATTTGTGCATTCCAAGCGCTCCTCTAAAGTCATGACTTCATTGTATGTGTAGTGAGTCCAACTGAGTCGCAGACATTGTCTTGGGAGCAACATGTTTATTAACTCTTAGCACAACATACTCCAAGCTATTAACACAACATACTCTCGGGTGGTGACCACCGAACTAACCACGCTACGTCGGAACTAGACACGGTTCCGCTATCCCGGTCCAGACCACAAGCTGGGTCCCGGACCGCGTGGCTGGAGGCTTCTTTAAGCTTGACGTGGATCTCCTGCCTCTCCAACAGTAAGAACCCCGAGCCCCTCTCAGGGCCCCCTTATATCGGGCCGGGCCGGGGCTGGCTCCGCCTCTCGCCCCGCCCACCTTCTCGATCTCTCTCGCCCTTGCCCGAAGGATCTCGAGAGTTCTTCTCGGACCATGTGACCACCCATTTGCTCCCTCTACCGGTGGCTCCCCTCCAGTATCATCCGGTCACATGTCCCCAGGTCAGCCAGAGTATCATGCCTCCAACGTAACCCTAGCTGGCTGACACTCTCTCGCTCTCTCAACGGGAGCCCGCACCGCACGCTGTGCGTGGTGCCACCGCACTTAACCAGAGCTCACCCAAGCCCCCACTAGGGCTGATACTACACCCCGTGTCTGGGGTGGCCTCGCAAACCCGGCACGACACAGTGACATTCCCAGTCACTACATATGTAAAGATGTCAGGGGCTCATGGTATTTGGCACATAATGGCCCACACTTCCAAATCTTACATTGTTTTAAACATCTACGTTTTACAAGATGGCGCAATCTGGCAACGAATGAAATAAAATGTGTGTAATGCTGTTGGGGAACCAGGTAAACGTTTAACTGTTGTGTCGGCCGACTCTCTGAGTTGCATTGCATTGTTAACTTTTGCTAAGTTTGATGTCTCAGCTTTCTTCTCTCTCTCACCTAAGCCCTTGTGGGATTGCAAACTCTTTCGCACATGCCCTAATTTCATTGCACACTCGTGTAGTCTCATTTTATTGCACACTCTCACTCTCACATGCCCTTTGGATTGCACTCTCATTCTCACATGCCCTACATGCTAATCTCTCACAATCTCGAGCCCCCACTCTCTTGCCCGATGCGGCACCCCCCTTCCCCCCCTCTCGGTCTATATGTAGTGAGCCCAAAGACGAGGGAGAACCGGTACTTGAGGCAACCGTTTATTTGACAAATAACTCAATGCAAAGTCCCTACTATGAAGGGTAATGGCCCCTTACACTCGCTACCTGGGGAGGTATGGCCTCCGGGCTATCGTGCCTCCTAACACTGGGGCCCACTCTTCACTCACCCCTCTGGCTAGGGGCCCTAGGGGAGGCTATCCTGACCCGACCCAGCCAAGGTTCTCGAGTCCTGGCCACTGGCCCACTCAGTCCCGGCCCTTACAATGACGTCAGGTCTGGGGGTACCCAGGGTTCGACCACTGTCCCACCTCAGTCCCGGCCCTTAGGACAGCGGGTCTGAGGGTCCCAGGGTCCTATTCTAAGCCGAGTCTTTTGTCTTCGGCTTGAGGACGACTGCCGAACCCGTTCAGGGGTCCGGCTTTTATACACCTCCTAGGGTCTCTCCGCCCCCGGCCACGCCTCCCTTCCAGTGTTCCAGGGGATCCTAGAATATTCCCCCAGCCCCCCTCTTGGGGTCTGGGGAACCTCGGTGGCCCACATATCACCCCCTACTGACGTATGTCCGCTAGTGCAGGTAAGCACAACGTGTGTTCATGGTGTTAAATATAGTCATATCTCGGTATACGACCGCTTAGGAATACATCCAATTTGGTATACATCGTGTTTTGACAAGAAAAAATTGTCTTGGGATACGACATCTTGCTTGGGATACGACGCGCTTGCTAGAACTTGCATGGGTCGGGATGAGTCACCGCGGACAGTACCAGCGTACACAATACTGTTACGGCTCTAACAAGCCGTAACAGTATTGTGTGGATTGACCAGACAATGTCCCACGTCAGGAACATTCTTAGAAGAAGGCAAAACCAAACTTCAATGGGCAAGTTTTTAGTAAAACTCAAACCTGGTGAGCCTCAACCAGGTCCAAGTCAAGAAAAAAGACACAAAAAAGAGAAAAAACCCCAGAATTTCAGCTTCCTAAAGTTTTAATGGAAGGGGACTCTCCTTCCAAAAATAACATCTCCTCCCCCCCTTCCTCACAGGCTATCAACTCCTCTCAGCAAGGCAAAGTGGTGTAAAATTAAATTTGTATTTCTTTATTTATGCATTTATTTTAATTTATATATGCATTTTAGTAATAATTAGCGTCTAAATTATTTTATACAACCCCATTAATGTATAATATGCCATATAAAATAAAATTTCTTATACTCTGGAAGGGATTATTTCCTTTGCCTTTATTTCTAATGGGAAAAATTTGTTTGGTATACATCATTTTCGGTATAAGTCCTACCTTCTGGAACTAATTAACGACGTATACCGAGGTACCACTGTATAAGGCCTCGTCCACAGCAGTCTGTTTCTTTCACCTAAAGACGATCGCTTATTGTTGCGATTGAAACGTCGTGATCTATTTGTATTTTATTATTTTTATTTTCGATCTACGTGACTTTACCGAAAGAACCAAAGAGTATAAATTCATGCCTGACAACCCCTTATCAGTGCCTATTTTATTCCAGACCAATACGGAACATCTGTGTAAAAAAAGAGCTTCATAGCTCATCGCATTCCTCCAGTATGAATACATATGACTGTTGAGGGGAAGCGCTGTGAGCGAGCGCCTGTTTGTTTGCAAAGGCCCAGGTTAATTTGTGAATACAGTACTTGTAAATGTCGTGATACAGTCTATAGTTGTGAACTGCATACCTATCAACCCTTTATCAGTGCCCTACTTTATTACAGACCAATTCAGACCTTATTAGTCAACGTTAATCCTACGAAGTCCTATCTCACGGGAGAAACACAGATATTTATTTTGCCCGTATGGAAACAGCTGTACGCCGTTTGGACCTGAAATCTCAATTTCCCTGTACAAGAATACGGGTAAACCGTATGGGTTGTTGACAGGTATAGAAATTAACCAATGGCTCAGATGTGACAAGCTGCAGTCACAAATGCTTCGAGGGTTGGGGCAACCATCAGGGGTCGACTAACAGAACCTGCAAGGGGTTACCCAGCTGAAGATGGGCCACGATGGATGGGGAGTTGTTTTGGGTGGCATGGTGGGGCAGCTGTGTCACTCTCGTGCCTCACAGTAAAATGATCCTTAGTTTGATTCCAAAATCAGGTGCCTTTGTGTGGAGTTTGTATGTTCTCCCCCTGTTCAGCATGAGTTTCCTCTCATGCCGACACCAATTACGAAGTAAATGGTGTCGGCCAAACATCCCAAAGTTGAAAATTACTTGTAAATTACTCTATTTGAATTACGCATTGCCCCCTCCTAATGCAAACAGTTGGCAGGACCCTCCTGAACAGTATCCTGAGGCTCAGCAAAAATACTTTTCTTGTTAAACAGGCGGAGCAATATGTACCCCACCTCTGCACCATCTGGTCCGATGATGAACATCTCTCCAGGTGTAGTATGTACCACCACGCACATATGCAAAGTTGCACAAAAACACGTCCTCTTGGAGGCGGACAACGACACGGCTGTGAATGATTCTCAGGGTCCACGGAAAATGCGAGGCAGGCCGATAACCCCCTGCTCGACTGCGTAACCAAAGACCTCTCGATTCAACGTCCTCATCCGCAGCGAGGCCCATCGCTGGCGAGGGGGGTCTCACCGCTGGTGGCTGTGAGGTTCTCCTCCAGAGTGCACACGGCGCGGAGTTGGTTGGTGAGCCAGGCACAGAGCTGCGTGAAGTCGGGCGAGGCCGGGCCTCCGTCCGCCAGCTGACACACGTCCTGCACGCCGCCCGCGGGCAGCGCGTACCTGGGTTGCGCAGGCACGGCCACACACACGGTGGGGGGCAAGGGGGACAGACATGAGGCACGCACCGGGCTCACTCTTGGCCATGCGCACACGCAGACGCCGACAAGACGAAGGGTGAAATGAAACGTGCCGACTGCCCCGACACTGCCGTTGGGGCTGCGCTATTCTCTCCCCTCGTGTCACCCACGAGGTGGTCTCTGCGTCCTCCTCACCCCAGGTCGCGGATGGCGTCTCCCGCGTCTCCCCCGAGAGCCGCGAGTTCCATGGCGCGCAGCAACTCCCCGGCTCCCTCACGCGTGCCTCGCTCCTCACTCCGGGCCTCGCTCGCCTAGGCGGCCCCTGCTCTCTCTCTCTCTTATCTCTCTCTCAGGTCTCCTCACTCGTCGCCCGAATCAAGTGACGTTAAGGTGCAGGCCTTGCAAAGTTCTCGCTCGCACCACCGGGGGGTTGGTGCGGGTTGGTGGCGGGCGAGGGACAACTTTCTTCGGCGCGCAGTCTCGGCAGCGTGCGGCAGGCCCGAGTGTCAAACGCGTAGTGACGTCACGCCTCCGGGGGGGGGGGGGGTGGAGAATGAGTAAATTACGTCATGCGACCGTGATCCCGGAGATAAACAGTCGGCGGTGACGTCACGCTCCGTGGGGGAATCGTCGACTAAATGACGTCATGCGACAGTGTAATTCATTTGACGATGACGTCACGCCCACGAGTCGTCTGACGCTGGGGTGACGTCACGGCGACGAAGCTTTCTCCAGTCATGGCGGCGGCGGCAGAGCAGGAGGCGTCGAGGCTGCGGCTGCAGGAGGCGCTCAGCGCCCGCGATCTCCTCGCGCTCGAGTGGGGCAAGAAGGCGCCCAGCCTCGACGCGTGCGGCGAGCTGCTCGCCAAGCTCAAGGTGACGGCGGTGGCGCGGCCCTTGTGGATGGGGTAGCGGTAACGATGAGCCCCGGCAAGGCCGCGAAGCCCCGGCTGGTTGGAGAGACAAAGGCGGCCGGGGCTGAGCGGCGCTCATCATAGCCGACAGCGCCGTGGTCATCGAGATCATCACTGTAGCCATAGCCCGTGCCAGTAAGGACACGAACGCGAATGTAGCCATCAACATCACCATCCTCGACGTGATAGCGATTATCTCGGCCTTCATCATAGCCGTGAACAGTCATCGCCATCACCAGTGCTCAGCACCACCACAGCAATCGGTGTCATTCTAGCCGGCATCATTGGCGATGTCGTTGTCGGTCACCAGCAACCTCGACAGCTTCGTAGACATCGTCACCATCATAGCCGGCATATTATTGTCACATTCTTCGGTGTCGGTGGCCTACCGCGGACGCGACTCCCAGTTGCAGCGCGATCTTGCCAATCTTGTCTTGAGCCAGCACCTCGGGCTAAGTTCAGCGATGTAATGAAACTTCACCGGGTGCCGATGTTCTGTGCGCAGTTACCCGACTGCGGCTATTGGCAGCGACTTTAAAAGTGAGCGTTCTAGACCGACGTTCCGTGGCGTAGGCCCCAGCTTGTGCCCATGGTCCTCGCAAAATCGATGACTCATGGTCGGCTTCTCAGCCGGAATACATTGTGGAAAAACGATTGTCATCGCAAGTGATACTGTATTAAAATACAAGCTAAGTCATTTTGCTTGTACGTGTAAACGGTGAAGAAAACTTTAGCTTACGATGCATTGATTTAGCTGATACGATCCACGGTGTTAACCAGGGTTATTACTGTAGTCATGAGTGTTTATAAGTTGCTGGTAGCCCATTGAGACGAGTATATTCCAAGGGAATAATATCTTAATACAGAACAATACATAGTTCGATCAGAAAGAAAAACAAATTTAAGTCAACGGATGTAGCTTGACAAAAAAAGCTGTTCAAAAATGTACAAGTCACCGAAAAGTTTAGTTTTTATTAGTGAGTTTGTTTAATATGATGTGTCAACGTAACATATTGACCTATCGGGCTACGAAAATTATTCGTAGCTGTGTGCACAATAGTCACGATTGTAAAATCGTGGTGCTTATTATTGTTACTAGCTTGTTTGCCCGTCCTAGGACGGAAGCTGTAATATTTACGAAAAAATTGAGCAGAGTATAATTGTATCATTTGTAAGTTTAATGGCAGTGAATCTTGCACAAAAGTATCTTATCAAACACTTCACTGCATTTCACTGTAGCACCGTATATAACTGACCTTCAATTTGTTCAAATTCACTGCTCTGGTACTTTCTCTTCTGCTTGTGGACGCTGGGGTTGAAATAAATGGGAATTCGATACAATATCTGGAAAATCACCAACAAATGTCTATTTTACCATAATGTAGAAGCATAAATTAAACTTACATTTTGTCTCAAGTGCTGAAGAAATAAAGACACCAAATCAACTTTGGTGCTCCGTAGAATTATTTCTTAGATTCTCTTTCAATAAAGAAACGTCAAACTTAAAGCGAATTTACGAAAAAAAAATTTCCTCTCGACATTCTGCGTGAGTATAAAGAATCCACCCGCTCGTGAATACTAATGACGGGGGTGCGGCATGTGGAGTGACGTCACGCGCGTTACACACAAACATTCTTGGCTCATTACAGTGGTAATTACTTGTACGTTTGTTTACCCAGCGAAGCCTGTCTCTCAAGACTTCTTTTCAGAAGGGTCCTGCCAAGTTTTTATGGACAAGTGATTTTTGTTCGCAGTAAGGGGTGCTGTTTCTACGTGTAATTCCTATATTTAATAATTTGCAGAATTGTCTCATCATTGTGAACGATTGGTTAATACCAGTTACATATGGTTTTTTTAGCTATGGGAGGAAACGCTAAAACTCGGAGGAGAACCCCATGTAGAACAGAGTGGGGGGGGGAATACAAACTGCAAACAATATGCCCGAGTCGGGAATCAAACTCGGGCCCTTCTTGCTGAGGCCACAAGCGTTAACTACCATTGTGCCACCCTGATGCTGCCCGGCCTGAAATGTCACTGCTGTGTGTTCACAGCTTGCGCTGCTCGACCTCAATTTCCTACCAGTGGGTGGAACCAAGCCTAGCAAGCAGCAGCTCATCCTGGCACGTACGTTTTGGCCGGAATCTCCACCTCTGAGCCCCATCACCTCGCACCTCCCTTCACCTGCCCCACCTCCTTATCTTCCTCCACTGTATCGTCCTGACGTTGACGTTAAACAGTGCAAACCTTTGTTTTGTTAAACTTTTCATGTTAAACCCCGCACCTGTGTTGCTTCTGTTGTTCAGCATAGATGCACACTGCTGAGCAATTAAAGTCACAGCCGAAGTGTTTAATAATTCACACAGTGCAGGCTGGGAGACCTGAGACCCAATCCCCATCCCCGCTTTTGCCTGGACATCCGATCACAGAGCTCCTGGCAAGGGAACTAGGCAAGGAGATGTTCCAGCTCGGCCTATCTATATATATAAAATCGTTCATGTCTGTCTGTCTGTGTGTGTGTGTGTGGACTTTGGCCCATACGCACTTTCATTGGACGGCGGTTGCCCCTGGCAACGGCTAGCCACGCCTTCGCCGCTTTCATTGGACCTGGCAACGGCTAGCCACGCCTTCGCCAAGGGCTGCAGTTTCATTGGACGGCGGTTGCCCCTGCCAACGGCTAGCCACGCCTTCGCCACTTTCATAAGCTCCGTATTTAATTAAATAATAGCCATTACACAGTATTGTTGGAGCGCTAGGGGGGGGGGAAGGAACGCCACCCGTACCCTGCCTCTTCCAAGCCGACAATTTTAGGCGAGGCCGCAGGCTTTGCACGCTACTAGGCCTCGACACCCACCACGCCACTCTGAGGTAAATTCATCAAAGTTTTTCCTACTCTTCACTACACCCCCACCACAATGTGTGCTATTAATATTACTTTTAAACCCAACGCGCCAACAATCGATTACTTTAATGTTCACTGTACAAATACTCATTAAGCTGGGTGAGCGTACTGCCAGTCTATCATGTACACTGTAGCCTGCTTATTAAGCTCGGTGAGCGTACTGCCACTCTATCATGTACACTCTAGCCTGCTTATGAAGCTGAGTGCGTGTACTGGCAGTCTATAATGTGGACTCTTGCCTGGTTATTATAATCGATTCTTTATATGTTCTTTGTACAAACAGTCATTAAGCTGCTTGAGCGACCCCAGTTCGATTCCAACTCACGCCCACCACCGCTGACGATTATTTGAAACGGACCTGGCCCTCCCCTAGGTCCACTCAGCCTCAAAAGCGTAACTGCTGTCGTGTGTGAACATCGTCACTGGGGAGACAAAGGCGGCGGGGCATCGTGGATCCAAGTCCCGGGCGAAGCCGGGTCATGTGTATGTGTGTTTGTGTTTATGTGTATGTCTGTGTGTCTCTATGTATGTGTGTATGTATGTGTATGTATGTGTTTGTGTGTATGTGTGTGTGTATGTATGTGGGTTTTTGTTTATGTCTTTATGTGTATGTCTGCGTGTCTCTATGTATGTGTGTATGTACGTGTGTGCATGTGTTTGTGTGTATGTATGTGTGTGTCTATGTATGTGTGTGTCTATGTATGTGTGTGTATGTGTGTGTATGTATGTGTGTTATGTGTCTGTCTGTGTCTGCATGTATGTGTGTGTGTATTGTGTATGTGTTTGTGTGCATGTATGTGTGTGTTTGTGTGTATGTGTATGTCTGTGTGTATGTGTTTGTGTGTATGTGTGTGTATGTATGTGTGTGTATGTGTTTGTATGTGTTTGTGTGTTTACGCTCGCATTACACAAATGTGTTGCTGGTCTAAGGCGTTCCTCGCACAGCATTGCCGCTTTATTATTTCAGTCGTTTACTGCCTTACGCACCCTGAAAGTCGTGTGTGTCTGCAGCAAGCGCGTGTATGTGTACCTATGGACGCGCGCGCGTGTGTTGTGTAGGGGGAACGGTAGTGTAGTGCTTAGCGTGCTGTCTGTGTCTGTGTGTGTGTGTGTCTGTCTGTGTCTGTCTGTGTGTGTCTGCGTGTGTCTGTGTGTGTGTCTGTGTGTGTGTCTGTGTGTGTGCGTGTGTGGTGTGTGGGGAGCGGTAGTGTAGTGCTTAGCGTGCTGTGTGTCTGTGTGTGTGTGTGTCTGTCTGTGTCTGTCTGTGTGTGTCTGCGTGTGTCTGTGTGTGTGTCTGTGCGTGTGTGGTGTGTGAGGAGCGGTGGGTGTAGTGCTTAACGCTACGCTGCGCTACCAACCCGGCGAACCCAGTTCCATTCCCGCTCACGGCCACCACCGGTGACGATTATTTGAACCTCCCCTAGGTCCACTCAGCCTCAAACGAGTAACTGGTGTGGCGTATTAACATCGGCACTTGGGAGACAAAGGCGGCTGGGCGTGGTAGATCCAAGTCCCGGGCGAAGCCGGGTCATGTGTATGTGTTTATGTGTATGTCTGTGTGTCTGTATGCATGTGTGTATGTATGTGTGTGTATGTGTTTGTGTGTATGTCTGTGTGTGTATGTATGTCGGTTTTGCCGCCGTGGTGGATCCAAGTCCCGGGCGAAGCCGGGTCATGTGTATGTGTTTATGTGTATGTCTGTGTGTCTGTATGCATGTGTGTATGTATGTGTGTGTATGTGTTTGTGTGTATGTCTGTGTGTGTATGTATGTCGGTTTTGCCGCCGTGGTGGATCCAAGTCCCGGGCGAAGCCGGGTCATGTGTATGTGTGTATGTGTTTATGTGTATGTCTGTGTGTCTGTATGCATGTGTGTATGTATGTGTGTGCATGTGTTTGTGTGTGTTTGTGTGTTTACGCTCGCATTACACAAATGTATAATGCGGGTCTAAGGCGTTCCTTACACAGCATTGCCGCTTTATTATTTCAGTCGTTTACTGCCGTATGCACCCTGAAAGTCGTGTGTGTCTGCAGCAAGCGCGTGTATGTGTACCTATGGACGCGCGCGCGTGTGTTGTGTAGGGGGAACGGTAGTGTAGTGCTTAGCGTGCTGCCTGTGTCTGTGTGTGTGTGTCTGTGTGTGTGTGTCTGTGTGTGTGTCTGTGTGTGTGCGTGTGTGGTGTGTGGGGAGCGGTAGTGTAGTGGTTAGCGTGCTGTCTGTGTGTGTGTTTCTGTCTGTGTGTGTCTGCGTGTGTCTGTGTGTGTGTCTGTGCGTGTGTGGTGTGTGAGGAGCGGTGGGTGTAGTGCTTAACGCTACGCTGCGCTACCAACCCGGCAAACCCAGTTCGATTCCCGCTCACGGCCACCACCGGTGACGATTATTTGAACCTCCCCTAGGTCGACTCTGCCTCAAACGAGTAACTGCTGTAGCGTATTAACATCGCCACTGGGGAGACAAAGGCGGCCGGCCGTGGTAGATACAAGTCCCGGGCGAAGCCGGGTAGTACAGCTAGTATAAGTATAATATTAAGGTATTTTAGACAATTGATTACTTTTTAAATATAGATTTCTTTTGACCAAAGGAAAATAACGAAGGTGGGTGTTACTTTATAAACAGCTGAATCAAGTGTATAAAACATCACCATGCCATGGAATAATAAGTCAAAACATTCAGTCATGTTGGACCATGGTACCATGATGACCATGTGACCTCATTCAGCCAATCAGAGCATTTGTTATATCTGTAACATTACATTTGAAGTTGTATTATTTTGAGCACCCACTGCATGTGACCATAAACTCACCCTGTTATAACATCTGTTGCTAATACGTCATTTGTTTTTGACATTGATTTTCTAAATCCCGGTGGTTATGTGATGCTCTTGAGCTTGCCTTTGGTGTGGTGTGTCCAGGAGATATCTTGGAGATCGGTGCACAGTGGAGTGTTCAGAAAAAGGACATCCCTTCGTTTGAGCGATACATCGCACAACTCAAATGCTACTACTTTGACTACAAGTGAGTCTTGATTTATCGAAAGCTCTGTCTTTCTAGCCCCCTTAGTCTGGCGACCTGGGGTGTAACTGTATATGCAAGACAAGTGGGGCGTGGTGATGCTTGAGGTATGGCACCCATGTTCCCGTGGTGATGCTTGTCCCTTGTTGTTGTTGGGGGGGTTGTTGATGCCTCACATGCATGGCTTGCCACAAATGAACCACAATACCTTGCTGATCTCGTCAAGGAGCATAAACCATCACCCGTGCTCCGGTCATCCTCGCAGTGGCTTTTGGCTAGACGTCGAACAAAAACGGTCACTACATCGCACGCTTTCAGGTGCGCTTCTGCGGCCGTCTCGAACACTCTTTCTTCCAATATCAGGAAGCCACTGGAGCTATGTACTTTTAAATCTCGATTGAAAACTCATTTCTTTAGAACCTTTTTTTGTGATTAGTTTGTTATCCTTCCCCCACACCTTCGATTAGCACGGTTGGCTACGTACGGTTCGAAAGAAGTTTAACATACATGTATATATGGAAAGACGTATATGCTCCATGTATGCCTTTGCGACGTGTTGTGTGTGATCCCTGGTTCACATGCACTCAGCGCATGCGAGCCTCTTGCCGTGCGTGAGCGTGTGCGAGTGTAATCCTTCCCTTGCGGTATGTGGCGACGCGCAGGAGCGAGCTTCCAGAGTCGGCTTACAAGTGGCAGCTGTTGGGCCTCAACCTGCTGTGCCTGCTCTCGCAGAACCGCGTGGCCGAGTTCCACACGGAGCTAGAGCGCCTTCCTGCCCGCGAGCTCCAGGGCAATGTCTACATCAAACACCCCGTGTCACTTGAGCAGGTCTCAGCCACGACCGACTGCACATGTAACAAGTTACCAACGTGTTTTTGAATTTTTTTTTTATTATGGAAGCTCATGGGTAGATGTCAGGGACAAACATGCTCGCATATTTGCCAATAGTCTATTTTGCTCTTGGATAAATATTGCCGGATTTCAATAGGCGAAGTCCCTTATATCAACACAATTGTACATTACAGATTAATTCATGCTGGAGTATCTTTATAAGAGCTATAGTTATCCTCATTATGGATGGATGGATCGGCAGAGCTAATGAAGACATGCCTTCAAAGTAATGTTAGCAGTGTGTATTGACCAAACATGTTCTGTGTTGTGTGTGTGCGCAGTACCTGATGGAAGGCAGCTACAACAAGGTGTTTCTGGCCAAGGGGAATGTGCCGGCAGAGTCGTACACGTTCTTCATCGACATCCTGCTCGACACAATCCGGTTCGGCTCATCACCACCGCACAGACGACCCCATACACATTCGTATGTGTCCTTGTAGTTTACATGGATTTTGGAGTTAAGTGAGGAAAGCACGGATGTTTCTACACAGTATTTACAATGACAGCCGTTAATCTCAGTTTGCTGGAGTGCTTGCCTGTTGATATGTAAGGCATTGCACATTACAATATCAAGCTGCAACGAGCCAAAAATGTACTACAGTTTGGTTATACATTATTCAGTCGTGAATTTGGCAGTTGCTAACAATTGTGTATGGTACTAGCTGTACTACCCGGCTTCGCCCGGGACTTGTATCTACCACGGCCGGCCGCCTTTGTCTCCCCAGTGGCGATGTTAATACGCTACAGCAGTTACTCGTTTGAGGCAGAGTCGACCTAGGGGAGGTTCAAATAATCGTCACCGGTGGTGGCCGTGAGCGGGAATCGAACTGGGTTTGCCGGGTTGGTAGCGCAGCGTAGCGTTAAGCACTACACCCACCGCTCCTCACACACCACACACGCACAGACACACACACAGACACACACACAGACACACGCAGACACACACAGACAGAAACACACACACAGACAGCACGCTAACCACTACACTACCGCTCCCCACACACCACACACGCACACACACAGACACACACACAGACACACACACACAGACACACACACACAGACACAGGCAGCACGCTAAGCACTACACTACCGTTCCCCCTACACAACACACGCGCGCGCGTCCATAGGTACACATACACGCGCTTGCTGCAGACACACACGACTTTCAGGGTGCATACGGCAGTAAACGACTGAAATAATAAAGCGGCAATGCTGTGTAAGGAACGCCTTAGACCCGCATTATACATTTGTGTAATGCGAGCGTAAACACACAAACACACACAAACACATACACAATACACACACACATACATGCAGACACACAGACAGACACATAACACACATACATACACACACATACAAACACAGAAACACATACACACACATACATAGACACACACATACATACACACAAACACATCCACAGACGTACATACACACATACATACAGGCACGCAGACATACACATAAACACATACAAAAAAACCCACATACATACACACACACATACATACACACAAACACATGCACACACATACATACACACATGCATACAGACACACAGACATACACATAAACACATACACACATACACATGACCCGGCTTCGCCCGGGACTTGGATCCACCACGGCGGCAAAACCGACATACATACACACACAGACATACACACAAACACATACACACACATACATACACACATGCATACAGACACACAGACATACACATAAACACATACACATGACCCGGCTTCGCCCGGGACTTGGATCCACCACGGCGGCAAAACCGACATACATACACACACAGACATACACACAAACACATACACACACATACATACACACATGCATACAGACACACAGACATACACATAAACACATACACATGACCCGGCTTCGCCCGGGACTTGGATCTACCACGCCCAGCCGCCTTTGTCTCCCAAGTGCCGATGTTAATACGCCACACCAGTTACTCGTTTGAGGCTGAGTGGACCTAGGGGAGGTTCAAATAATCGTCACCGGTGGTGGCCGTGAGCGGGAATGGAACTGGGTTCGCCGGGTTGGTAGCGCAGCGTAGCGTTAAGCACTACACCCACCGCTCCTCACACACCACACACGCACAGACACACACACAGACACACGCAGACACACACAGACAGACACAGACAGACACACACACACACAGACACACAGCACGCTAAGCACTACACTACCGCTCCCCACACACCACACACGCACACACACAGACACACACGCAGACACACGCAGACACACACAGACAGACACAGACAGACACACACACACACAGACACAGACAGCACGCTAAGCACTACACTACCGTTCCCCCTACACAACACACGCGCGCGCGTCCATAGGTACACATACACGCGCTTGCTGCAGACACACACGACTTTCAGGGTGCGTAAGGCAGTAAACGACTGAAATAATAAAGCGGCAATGCTGTGCGAGGAACGCCTTAGACCAGCAACACATTTGTGTAATGCGAGCGTAAACACACAAACACATACAAACACATACACACACATACATACACACACATACACACAAACACATACACACAGACATACACATACACACAAACACACACATACATGCACACAAACACATACACAATACACACACACATACATGCAGACACAGACAGACACATAACACACATACATACACACACATACACACACATACATAGACACACACATACATAGACACACACATACATACACACAAACACATGCACACACGTACATACACACATACATAGAGACACGCAGACATACACATAAAGACATAAACAAAAACCCACATACATACACACACACATACACACAAACACATACATACACATACATACACACATACATAGAGACACACAGACATACACATAAACACAAACACACATACACATGACCCGGCTTCGCCCGGGACTTGGATCCACGATGCCCCGCCGCCTTTGTCTCCCCAGTGACGATGTTCACACACGACAGCAGTTACGCTTTTGAGGCTGAGTGGACCTAGGGGAGGGCCAGGTCCGTTTCAAATAATCGTCAGCGGTGGTGGGTGTGAGTTGGAATCGAACTGGGGTCGCTCAAGCAGCTTAATGACTGTTTGTACAAAGAACATATAAAGAATCGATTATAATAACCAGGCAAGAGTCCACATTATAGACTGCCAGTACACGCACTCAGCTTCATAAGCAGGCTAGAGTGTACATGATAGAGTGGCAGTACGCTCACCGAGCTTAATAAGCAGGCTACAGTGTACATGATAGACTGGCAGTACGCTCACCCAGCTTAATGAGTATTTGTACAGTGAACATTAAAGTAATCGATTGTTGGCGCGTTGGGTTTAAAAGTAATATTAATAGCACACATTGTGGTGGGGGTCTAGTGAAGAGTAGGAAAAACTTTGATGAATTTACCTCAGAGTGGCGTGGTGGGTGTCGAGGCCTAGTAGCGTGCAAAGCCTGCGGCCTCGCCTAAAATTGTCGGCTTGGAAGAGGCAGGGTACGGGTGGCGTTCCTTCCCCCCCCCCTAGCGCTCCAACAATACTGTGTAATGGCTATTATTTAATTAAATACGGAGCTTATGAAAGTGGCGAAGGCGTGGCTAGCCGTTGGCAGGGGCAACCGCCGTCCAATGAAACTGCAGCCCTTGGCGAAGGCGTGGCTAGCCGTTGCCAGGTCCAATGAAAGCGGCGAAGGCGTGGCTAGCCGTTGCCAGGGGCAACCGCCGTCCAATGAAAGTGCGTATGGGCCAAAGTCCACACACACACAGACAGACAGACATGAACGATTTTATATATATAGACTAGCTGTACTACCCGGCTTCGCCCGGGACTTGTATCTACCACGGCCGGCCGCCTTTGTCTCCCCAGTGGCGATGTTAATACGCTACAGCAGTTACTCGTTTGAGGCAGAGTCGACCTAGGGGAGGTTCAAATAATCGTCACCGGTGGTGGCCGTGAGCGGGAATCGAACTGGGTTTGCCGGGTTGGTAGCGCAGCGTAGCGTTAAGCACTACACCCACCGCTCCTCACACACCACACACGCACAGACACACACACAGACACACACACAGACACACGCAGACACACGCAGACACACACAGACAGAAACACACACACAGACAGCACGCTAACCACTACACTACCGCTCCCCACACACCACACACGCACACACACAGACACACACACAGACACACAGACACACACACACAGACACAGGCAGCACGCTAAGCACTACACTACCGTTCCCCCTACACAACACACACGCGCGCGCGTCCATAGGTACACATACACGCGCTTGCTGCAGACACACACGACTTTCAGGGTGCATACGGCAGTAAACGACTGAAATAATAAAGCGGCAATGCTGTGTAAGGAACGCCTTAGACCCGCATTATACATTTGTGTAATGCGAGCGTAAACACACAAACACACACAAACACATACACAATACACACACACATACATGCAGACACACAGACAGACACATAACACACATACATACACACACATACAAACACAGAAACACATACACACACATACATACACACAAACACATCCACAGACGTACATACACACATACATACAGGCACGCAGACATACACATAAACACATACAAAAAAACCCACATACATACACACACACATACATACACACAAACACATGCACACACATACATACACACATGCATACAGACACACAGACATACACATAAACACATACACACATACACATGACCCGGCTTCGCCCGGGACTTGGATCCACCACGGCGGCAAAACCGACATACATACACACACAGACATACACACAAACACATACACACACATACATACACACATGCATACAGACACACAGACATACACATAAACACATACACATGACCCGGCTTCGCCCGGGACTTGGATCCACCACGGCGGCAAAACCGACATACATACACACACAGACATACACACAAACACATACACACACATACATACACACATGCATACAGACACACAGACATACACATAAACACATACACATGACCCGGCTTCGCCCGGGACTTGGATCTACCACGCCCAGCCGCCTTTGTCTCCCAAGTGCCGATGTTAATACGCCACACCAGTTACTCGTTTGAGGCTGAGTGGACCTAGGGGAGGTTCAAATAATCGTCACCGGTGGTGGCCGTGAGCGGGAATGGAACTGGGTTCGCCGGGTTGGTAGCGCAGCGTAGCGTTAAGCACTACACCCACCGCTCCTCACACACCACACACGCACAGACACACACACAGACACACGCAGACACACACAGACAGACACAGACAGACACACACACACACAGACACACAGCACGCTAAGCACTACACTACCGCTCCCCACACACCACACACGCACACACACAGACACACACACAGACACACGCAGACACACACAGACAGACACAGACACACACACACACAGACACAGACAGCACGCTAAGCACTACACTACCGTTCCCCCTACACAACACACGCGCGCGCGTCCATAGGTACACATACACGCGCTTGCTGCAGACACACACGACTTTCAGGGTGCGTAAGGCAGTAACTGACTGAAATAATAAAGCGGCAATGCTGTGCGAGGAACGCCTTAGACCAGCAACACATTTGTGTAATGCGAGCGTAAACACACAAACACATACAAACACATACACACACATACATACACACACATACACACAAACACATACACACAGACATACACATACACACAAACACACACATACATGCACACAAACACATACACAATACACACACACATACATGCAGACACAGACAGACACATAACACACATACATACACACACATACACACACATACATAGACACACACATACATAGACACACACATACATACACACAAACACATGCACACACGTACATACACACATACATAGAGACACGCAGACATACACATAAAGACATAAACAAAAACCCACATACATACACACACACATACACACAAACACATACATACACATACATACACACATACATAGAGACACACAGACATACACATAAACACAAACACACATACACATGACCCGGCTTCGCCCGGGACTTGGATCCACGATGCCCCGCCGCCTTTGTCTCCCCAGTGACGATGTTCACACACGACAGCAGTTACGCTTTTGAGGCTGAGTGGACCTAGGGGAGGGCCAGGTCCGTTTCAAATAATCGTCAGCGGTGGTGGGCGTGAGTTGGAATCGAACTGGGGTCGCTCAAGCAGCTTAATGACTGTTTGTACAAAGAACATATAAAGAATCGATTATAATAACCAGGCAAGAGTCCACATTATAGACTGCCAGTACACGCACTCAGCTTCATAAGCAGGCTAGAGTGTACATGATAGAGTGGCAGTACGCTCACCGAGCTTAATAAGCAGGCTACAGTGTACATGATAGACTGGCAGTACGCTCACCCAGCTTAATGAGTATTTGTACAGTGAACATTAAAGTAATCGATTGTTGGCGCGTTGGGTTTAAAAGTAATATTAATAGCACACATTGTGGTGGGGGTCTAGTGAAGAGTAGGAAAAACTTTGATGAATTTACCTCAGAGTGGCGTGGTGGGTGTCGAGGCCTAGTAGCGTGCAAAGCCTGCGGCCTCGCCTAAAATTGTCGGCTTGGAAGAGGCAGGGTACGGGTGGCGTTCCTTCCCCCCCCCCTAGCGCTCCAACAATACTGTGTAATGGCTATTATTTAATTAAATACGGAGCTTATGAAAGTGGCGAAGGCGTGGCTAGCCGTTGGCAGGGGCAACCGCCGTCCAATGAAACTGCAGCCCTTGGCGAAGGCGTGGCTAGCCGTTGCCAGGTCCAATGAAAGCGGCGAAGGCGTGGCTAGCCGTTGCCAGGGGCAACCGCCGTCCAATGAAAGTGCGTATGGGCCAAAGTCCACACACACACACACAGACAGACAGACATGAACGATTTTATATATATAGATTGTAATCATTTTTTAGCATGCATATAAATCCTCTGATTCACTGCACCAAACATAGGCAGTGATGAAAGGGTTGGTTCCATGCCAGATGGGTCAACATAACTGCATTTGGTGTAGTTGGTACTCTAATTTGGATTGAATTTTCACTGTAAATAGTAGCGGTAAGTGGTTAAGCTCTGATAGGATCCTGTCTCTTCAGAATGTATTATGACTTAATCAGATCTAATTGGCCAGAAGCAGAATTCAGTTTATTGAGCTAATTGGGATGGGACTCTGTGAGCTCGGTAAATAAAGGAATATGCAACCAAAAGCACTTGGCTCTTATTTGATAGCAATATGGCAGTTTCAATCTAATTCCTCGAAATAAAATCTGCCGATTCACCTCCAAAATATTGGCCAAATCGTTACAGCATAACGCTGTTTGTGCGCCTTGAGTTATCGTAACATTCCTCCGGGGACTGTGTGCTGTCTTGGTGTGGTCTGGGACTGGTTTTGCTGTTGTTTTGCTGCCTAGCCCAAGCTTGAGGAATTTTTGTACTTATGCAATTTGAACTTATATACTTTATCTATTTTTGTTGTGATTTGCTTACCTTTTCTCTACTTCGCACTCCTATCGTGTATTTCTACTGTTTGCTGTTGTAACTTTGACCCGGCCCTACTGGACATCTGCGAAAACGAGCTTCAAAGCTCATCGGATTTCTCCAGTATAAAGATTCAGATTTTGTATGCGACGGAGCAATGCAAACAAGTCCCGTGTGTGCTGCCCCATTCGGCGATGTGCACAGGGACGAGATCGCGGGCTGCATCGAGAAAGCGTACGAGAGGATATCGTTCAAGGAAGCAGCACGCGTCCTCTTCTTCAATGCGCAGAAGCAGATGACCGAGTACAGCACCAAGGTGAGCATCGGCCCCAAGCGAAAGGGCTGCTTTGTGTTTTACTTGTACATGAGTCACCAACAATGCAATAGAATTTGCGTTATGTATAAGGCACTTTAAATAATCTCAAAAAGCCATTGCTCAATAAATCCAGCTTGACTGAAACAGTGTTTTAAATTAGATTTAAATATTTTATTGGGAATTATTTAACACAAATAAATGTTATATCACAAATGGTGGTTTTGTTTCCGTGCGGTGGCTGTGCGTTGTTGCGCGCGTGTCCGCGCTGCGCCGCTCACGTCTGCAGCGTGGCTGGAAACTGGGAGCCGACAGCTACGTGCTATTTGGGAACACGCAGCAGCAGAAGCCGGAAGAGGCTACAATCCCATCCACAGAGCTGGCGCAGCAAGTCATCGAGTACGCGCGGCAGCTCGAGATGATCGTCTGAGCTTACCCCATCGGTGGGGAGAGGGGAGCTGCGCTTCTCCCATGTGACCCACCCCCCATAAAATAAACACCCTGCCCCCTTGAAACACGATTTCAGGCAGTCTAAACTAAAGTTTGTGATGTTCTCCAGAATGTGTTTATTATAATTTTGAAAAATGTGTTTTTTTATTACATTTGTGCACCAGGCTACATCTTGTGTATTTAAGGCAGGAAGCAAGTTGTTTTTCTTCTCGAGATGCTTTTAGATATTAACACAGACGTTGAACTGATGACACAGCAGGGAGCTTCTTTTGATGGCTAAATTCTAAACATAAATAAATGGTTGGATTAAAGACCTGTGTAGGATATTTGTCCATAAGATTTCTGATATTGGAAACCAATAAAGTGTGGCCTGAATAAGCAGCCACTTCCTGCGGCAAGGGCACTGTTTTCTGGGTTATCTATGTTTCTTGGTCTCTTGTGCAATCCCCGAATACATAACACCGTGCCTCGGCTCAATGCTGAGGGTTTGTTGCCAGCCCACACAAGCTTCAGCTGATAATGTTATCCCTCTTAAGTCCACACAAAGCACATTGTGTGAATGTCGTAGTTTTCGTTAAATCATTATTTTCACGCCATACCAACTGGTGGCATCGTCACAGCTATATTAGAAGCGAGGACGTTGTGAGTAGACGTTAATAGAGTTGGTTTATCTTTAAATTTGACCTTGACATGCAGAATCATCTTGCGGTCATTCAATTTTAAAAAATCGTTTAACCCAGCCAATAGCATTTTCAAGGTCCATAAGATTAGCAACACTTTGAGAAATCAAGTGGTCCTTTGGATATCACCCCTGTCATGATAATGTGAATTTTCTCTTATCTACAACAGAGATGTACACTTTTGCATGCACATTTGAAAATCTGGAGACAAACCATCAAAATAATGATGCCTGCATGGATATTCAGACTTTATTAACAAAGCCTCGTTAAACATTAATTTGAGTCCTCATCTCCTTGGGCCGTGTAGTCCCATTAAGAGCCCTAAGCCCAGGTCTCCTCCAACGCCTTGGTGTTTCTGCTGCTGCTGTGGGGATGATCTTCTCCCGCTGAAGGCTTCTGCAGATGATTGTGAGAGGTCTTTATTTGATATCGCTCCAGTCATCCCAAGCCTTCAGTAGAGGTACGGGACCTCCAGTTTCCTTGAGATAGGAACGTGAAGAGGATAGGTGTCAGCCACGTTTATGATGTCATTGAGCTTTCTCAAGCCACTTGTTTACAGATCGTGGTCTGTCATTTCTAAAAGTGACAACTTAGAGGTGTATCAGTTAATGAAGGTTCTGCACTGATGTTTTCCAGCAACATTTTAGCAGAAAACGCTGCACCTGTGCAGGGTGTGCCTTGCGACTGGGTTCCCTGAAGTAATCGACAAGACCCATTCATCCACAGACAATTGGCATGTTCAGCGCAGTGCAGCTACATTTTAATTGTTGCTTAAAGCTAACACATTTCTGAGAGGCTCAACATGGCATGGTGAGATGACAGACCATTATCCCACTCAAACACTATCCCCACCCACAGTGACCTGTAATGTTGACCCTACCAATAGTGCCCACTGGCCACCAACATGAGTTCAGCATGATTTTAGAGAAAAACTAGCTGTACTACCCGGCTTCGCCCGGGACTTGTATCTACCACGGCCGGCCGCCTTTGTCTCCCCAGTGGCGATGTTAATACGCTACAGCAGTTACTCGTTTGAGGCAGAGTCGACCTAGGGGAGGTTCAAATAATCGTCACCGGTGGTGGCCGTGAGCGGGAATCGAACTGGGTTTGCCGGGTTGGTAGCGCAGCGTAGCGTTAAGCACTACACCCACCGCTCCTCACACACCACACACGCACAGACACACACACAGACACACACACAGACACACGCAGACACACACAGACAGAAACACACACACAGACAGCACGCTAACCACTACACTACCGCTCCCCACACACCACACACGCACACACACAGACACACACACACAGACACACACACACAGACACAGGCAGCACGCTAAGCACTACACTACCGTTCCCCCTACACAACACACGCGCGCGCGTCCATAGGTACACATACACGCGCTTGCTGCAGACACACACGACTTTCAGGGTGCATACGGCAGTAAACGACTGAAATAATAAAGCGGCAATGCTGTGTAAGGAACGCCTTAGACCCGCATTATACATTTGTGTAATGCGAGCGTAAACACACAAACACACACAAACACATACACAATACACACACACATACATGCAGACACACAGACAGACACATAACACACATACATACACACACATACAAACACAGAAACACATACACACACATACATAGACACACACATACATACACACAAACACATCCACAGACGTACATACACACATACATACAGGCACGCAGACATACACATAAACACATACAAAAAAACCCACATACATACACACACACATACATACACACAAACACATGCACACACATACATACACACATGCATACAGACACACAGACATACACACAAACACATACACACATACACATGACCCGGCTTCGCCCGGGACTTGGATCCACCACGGCGGCAAAACCGACATACATACACACACAGACATACACACAAACACATACACACACATACATACACACATGCATACAGACACACAGACATACACATAAACACATACACATGACCCGGCTTCGCCCGGGACTTGGATCCACCACGGCGGCAAAACCGACATACATACACACACAGACATACACACAAACACATACACACACATACATACACACATGCATACAGACACACAGACATACACATAAACACATACACATGACCCGGCTTCGCCCGGGACTTGGATCTACCACGCCCAGCCGCCTTTGTCTCCCAAGTGCCGATGTTAATACGCCACACCAGTTACTCGTTTGAGGCTGAGTGGACCTAGGGGAGGTTCAAATAATCGTCACCGGTGGTGGCCGTGAGCGGGAATGGAACTGGGTTCGCCGGGTTGGTAGCGCAGCGTAGCGTTAAGCACTACACCCACCGCTCCTCACACACCACACACGCACAGACACACACACAGACACACGCAGACACACACAGACAGACACAGACAGACACACACACACACAGACACACAGCACGCTAAGCACTACACTACCGCTCCCCACACACCACACACGCACACACACAGACACACACACAGACACACGCAGACACACACAGACAGACACAGACAGACACACACACACACAGACACAGACAGCACGCTAAGCACTACACTACCGTTCCCCCTACACAACACACGCGCGCGCGTCCATAGGTACACATACACGCGCTTGCTGCAGACACACACGACTTTCAGGGTGCGTAAGGCAGTAAACGACTGAAATAATAAAGCGGCAATGCTGTGCGAGGAACGCCTTAGACCAGCAACACATTTGTGTAATGCGAGCGTAAACACACAAACACATACAAACACATACACACACATACATACACACACATACACACAAACACATACACACAGACATACACATACACACAAACACACACATACATGCACACAAACACATACACAATACACACACACATACATGCAGACACAGACAGACACATACCACACATACATACACACACATACATAGACACACACATACATAGACACACACATACATAGACACACACATACATACACACAAACACATGCACACACGTACATACACACATACATAGAGACACGCAGACATACACATAAAGACATAAACAAAAACCCACATACATACACACACACATACACACAAACACATACATACACATACATACACACATACATAGAGACACACAGACATACACATAAACACAAACACACATACACATGACCCGGCTTCGCCCGGGACTTGGATCCACGATGCCCCGCCGCCTTTGTCTCCCCAGTGACGATGTTCACACACGACAGCAGTTACGCTTTTGAGGCTGAGTGGACCTAGGGGAGGGCCAGGTCCGTTTCAAATAATCGTCAGCGGTGGTGGGCGTGAGTTGGAATCGAACTGGGGTCGCTCAAGCAGCTTAATGACTGTTTGTACAAAGAACATATAAAGAATCGATTATAATAACCAGGCAAGAGTCCACATTATAGACTGCCAGTACACGCACTCAGCTTCATAAGCAGGCTAGAGTGTACATGATAGAGTGGCAGTACGCTCACCGAGCTTAATAAGCAGGCTACAGTGTACATGATAGACTGGCAGTACGCTCACCCAGCTTAATGAGTATTTGTACAGTGAACATTAAAGTAATCGATTGTTGGCGCGTTGGGTTTAAAAGTAATATTAATAGCACACATTGTGGTGGGGGTGTAGTGAAGAGTAGGAAAAACTTTGATGAATTTACCTCAGAGTGGCGTGGTGGGTGTCGAGGCCTAGTAGCGTGCAAAGCCTGCGGCCTCGCCTAAAATTGTCGGCTTGGAAGAGGCAGGGTACGGGTGGCGTTCCTTCCCCCCCCCCTAGCGCTCCAACAATACTGTGTAATGGCTATTATTTAATTAAATACGGAGCTTATGAAAGTGGCGAAGGCGTGGCTAGCCGTTGGCAGGGGCAACCGCCGTCCAATGAAACTGCAGCCCTTGGCGAAGGCGTGGCTAGCCGTTGCCAGGTCCAATGAAAGCGGCGAAGGCGTGGCTAGCCGTTGCCAGGGGCAACCGCCGTCCAATGAAAGTGCGTATGGGCCAAAGTCCACACACACACACACAGACAGACAGACATGAACGATTTTATATATATAGATGTAAACCAAGGACAAAATCCCGATTCTTGCAAATGCTTTGGAACACCGGGAGAGACGTTTTGAAACCAGAAATGTCCTGGCCAAATAGGGACATTCGGTAATTTTAGTGTTGCTTTGTTGGTGCAAAATGGGCAAAATTAAATCCACAAACTTGATGAGCGACAGTATTGTTGTCCGACCTAACTCGGACTCACTTAGCCCTAGTGCAGGCGAGCGCTGCTCCTGGACGAAAGTAGCGGCTGGGTGCTGCAGCGAGGCGCACGGACGGGGCAGGAGTCCGCGTCTCCGTAGTGCTGCTGGTACGAGGTGACAACTCCCCCCGTGTCTGGGAGGGGCCCTCGCACTCGCGCAACGCTCGGAGCTACGAGGGAGACACAAGGGCCACACACGATCTCCATTTAAAAAAACACTAAACTATTTTTTTATATTACCCACTGAACTATATATATTTTTTGTAAGAAGCGACCTGGCCACAAATAGCTCGGCTAAGTCGCTTATGTGGAAATTTAAAGCAGCCCTCAACGCATGTCTCTTAAAAGTTGGAGGGAAAAATCGGAGGCCTTGGGAGAAAAAGCCACGCGACCACTGGGAGAACATGCACGCTCAAAATATACAGGCATCGGGGTCGGAATCGAACCTGCTACCTCCCGTATACCAGGCGAGATAGTTCACATCTCGCCAACGGGCCCGTTAACTCGATGACTCTTAGCCAGTTCAACAACAGCCCTCAAAGATTATCTGCTTGTCGATACACCATAACTAGTTTGTGTTGTGTAAGTTTTAAAACCTTCAGGGATTGCGTATCTCATATGTGGTCTCTGGCTACCCGTCTTAAACGTAAAACAATTACTTCAGGGCTTCACTACTGATGGTTCACTGCCTTTATCAACTGATGGTTCGCTGCCTTTATGTGGGCCATGGTGACAAGTAGAGAGCAGTACAATATTAAGGGCTCTGGAGTTTGTATATCGCACAAGGACACTGCAAACGTGTACAGATCAGTGGATCGGTCTGATTGCTACTCTGTTAGGATGATAAATGGGGTATACATGTCACTTCAAGGCTGTATCATTTAGTTATGCACAAACAGTGGACTTCATTGAATGGGTCTGAATAACACATGCATTCTCTTTAGCAGGCCACATGCACCAAAAGGTTGAGAGATTACCCAATATGACCCAGTATAATGGGTAACGTTTCACAAAAATGTGGCATCTCCATGCCAACAATAAAAACAGTGCCACGTCGGGAGTGCATAACATCAGCAGCATTGCTTCAATGTAAGCAAACTGGACCGGTTGCAATCGTCAATGTCTCATTCGTTGTCAGGTTTGGTGAACTGCCAGATCTTTATAGGCAAGGACCCTCTTAGATACGGACACAATCGTGAACTTTTCTGTGGAGAAAACAAGATTAAGACCTGTCCCTCCACATAGTGAACACCACGTGCATTTCTTCTTTAACTGCACGTATCGAGGAGAACCGGGAGGGTTGTAAACGGTTGCGTGGTCGCTACCGATGCCGAGGGCAGGCAGGCGGCGGTTCTTGTTGCAGCCAAAGTTTGTGGCACGGAAGGAGACCCGCGGGTCGAGGCGCGGCCACCGGTAGCCCTGCTGGAACTCGGAGAGGAGAGGTTGCGCTCCTCCGACGAGCCGCCACGATCCCGAGGCTCCGCGGTGTCCCCCGTCCTCCGCGCTCCCCTGGCCTGCCCGCACACCTGCATCGCGCGTTCCTTATCGTCACGTTTACATTTTTGTTTAATTCGGCCTCAATGAAAATCGCATCTCGAAAACCCCAGCTGCGGAATTTATAACACATGCAGTTTTCGCATGGAGGCGACGGCGGCACCGCAGACAAGCGGGAAGGCAGCCAGAACTGGGTGCCACAACAATTGCCCAAGCTCTGTCGTCCTATATTGTGAAGTTTGGCCAACTCCAACTCCATCAACCTGTAATTTAACACGCAGGCTATTACTACGTATTGTATGCTGGATATATATATATATATATAGCCATTACCATTCGTGCATATGCAAATGTAGAAGTGTTGCTATGGGACCTATTCGTCCTGCAGCCCCGGTTTACTGTTGTTTCCCCTCTGCGGAAAAAAACATCGTTGCAAAGGAATAAAACAATTGTCGCAAGCATATGCGGCAATTAGATATGATATTCGGTTTGTAACCACGTCAAACATCATCAAGACAAGAGCCTTTAGGAAGTCAGAATAACAATATAGGAAGTTTGACGTAGTCTCAAGTGAAGCATTGCATCTAATTGTGCAATTTGGCTGTGAGATGTGTTCTTCAACTTACGTATGAGTGGACTGAAACAATAATTGGCGCAATCATTGCTTGTACACCGCGTGACAATCTCATTTGTTTGTCTGTGTCGGGTGGTGGAGGGTCTTAACGACACAAACTTGGTCAGATCATTCAGCAGCATTATCAGAAAATCTATGATGAACGGTAAGTAGAGTTACGGGCAAAAACATTGGCACGTGCATCGTCGTTCCGTACTCACTCTGCTGTGCGCCCAGGTAGTCGCCCTGGTAGGTCGACTGGTACTGACTTGACAAGATCGCCTTGATTTCGGCCTCTGTCATGGTGGGGGATTGGCGCTCGCAGCCAGAACCACACCTGCCACTGGGAAGCCTCCACACCAGGAAAGCCTGCAGCACAGTCCAAGTGGGTCGGATCACCGAACATATACGGTGGTCACCACATCGCGCTCTTTCAGATAAGCTTTCTCGGCCGTCTGGAACGCTCTTCCTTCCGATATAAGAAAGCCACTGGAGCCATGCACGTTTAAATCTATATTGAAAACTAATTAGAAACGTTTGTATTTAGTTTATCGTCCTTCCCCCGCACCTCCGATTAGGACGGTTGGCTACGTACGGTGCGGAAGAAGTTCAACACACAGTACATACATCACGCAAGGGAGGTGAATTTATCATTTTTGCCGTTCCTACCACACAAGCTATCATGATGACAATGTGGGTATGCTCTGTAAACTTTACAGAACGATTCCGACGGCATTACTTCATCCATCATCCGTCCAAAGAATTGCTTGTGCTTAGGTACTGGGGCTGGTACATGGCTCCTAAAAATGTCAGTCATTAATTACCTTGCGTTTTGGCAGCATTGCTTATGCACAACAATAACATGATGCTTCGTGGAGTTTGTGGGGTGCATTCAGTGGAAGATCACTTTTGTTATTAGTTTCTGATTACTGATTAAACTATGTTTTATGAGCAACATATCCCCATGGTGCAGTGGTTAGCGCACTGTGTTATGAACCCTGCAATATGGGTTTGACTCCCGGATATGGATCAGTAAGTTCACTAACCAGCACGGACACATACAGTCAAGTATGGTCAAACAACCTTCATGGCTGAGGGAATGGGGAGGCCTTCATGCAGCAGTGGATTGACAAATGGCTGTATATTAGTGTAATAAAAGACTCGGACGCTTCTCTCTGACTCCTGACAAGCTCACACAACTGAGTAATGACATTCTTGAGAGTTACAAGTTGCTCCGCCATCTGGCTCCATCTTGAATCCGCGTCCTTTGGAGCAGACGGGTCCGCCGACACGACGACATCTTGGACCCCCGGACCCGCACTCATCCCAGCACGGATCTCTTCTTCTGCCAGAGTCAGGCCGACTTCAGGAGGAAGATCTTCGTCGTCGGAAGATGAAGCCGATGCCGGAGACGGAATATTCTTTTTTCTGAGTTGTTTCGCCATGCCGTTTCACTTCTGACTCCAGTGTAATAAAAGACTCGGACGCTTCTCTCTGACTCCGTGTCCTTTATTTGGGTTCTTCGTAATTACCCTCACGGCACTCTCTTAGAGATACTCTGCTTGCAGCCCCCGGCTGCTATCACTATTGTAGCCTCCTTCCTCTCCTTGCAGACTCGCTGCTAACTCCGTGTGCAGACTCCCGCTGCCAACTCCGTATGCAGACCCCCGCTGCCAACTCCGTGTGCAGACTCCCGCTGCCAACTCCGTGTGCAGACCCCCGCTGCCACCTGCAGCCTCCTCGCTGCTCCGGGTCGGTCACCGTTGGCCGACGGTGCCGAACCTCGTTCCCCGCATACGTGGCGATCTCGCCACTCTCCCGCTCTCGCCCTACGTGGCCTACCTCGTCCTTAGTCTCCAGTCACTCCCTCTCCTCTTCCGGTTTCTCTCCCTATAGACCTGACCCCTCTCCCCCACGTGACCTAACTCCTCCCCTCATGACGTCACCTCCGGGAGGTCGTTCACGCCCGCATTACATCACCCTCCCCCGTAGAGAAAATCCAGCCGACCTCGGCTGAACAACAACCTAACAAGTAATGCGAGCGTAAAAGACCAATACATTAAAGGACACGAAGCATACAACAACAATATAACAAGAACACAACACAAGTTAACGAAATGTGAGGGATTTCGAGCTAGTACGGGTAGCCGGACCGTCCCAGACGGTCGGCGGCCCTCCCGCCGAGCGGGAGCGTGGCAGGGTTTTAAGGGCGACAGGAGCAAGTTCGTCCGTCGCCATTGGAGGCCTGCCACCGTCCCGGTCCCGTTCAGAGGCGTCCCGTAATCTCGTCCGTGGCGGGGCAGGAAGGGCTGCAGGTCCCGGAGATTCCACGGCCCCGGTCGGCACCCCGCGAGCGGAGCGTCCTCCCTCCTGCGGCGTCACGGCCGGCTTGTCTGTAAGGGGTACGACAGGCGCTCTTGCAAGGTCAGCAGGCACAGGCAGGGGCGAGTCGGCAGCAACAGACCCCGGCAAGGCAACCTCAGGAGATGACGCATCAGGTCGCGGGGCAATGCACGGCTTCAACCGAGATGTATGTACGAACCAGCGCCGCGAACCAACCCGAACACGCGCCGACTGTGGGTTGGGAACCGCGATGAGGCGGACCGGTCCTTGCCATGGTTTATGTAATTTAGGAGAGGTACCTGGCCGCACCTGTGGGCAATGAAGCCAGGCCAGGTCCCCCGTTTTCCAGGGGCACTCCCCCTTTGAACGTCGAGCACACCGCTCGTTCCGGGCCTGGGCTTTGGCCGTAGCCACGCGGGCTCCTTCCCTCGCCTCAGTGACACGGCGAACGTTGTCCTGAATATAATCAGGAAGAGGTTTAACAGGTCCCCTCGCTCCGGTTCCCAACTGCTCATTGATTGGCGGCACGTTTTCACGGCCGTACATAAGAAAGAACGGCGAATATCCAGTAGCCGCGTGCGGCGTCATGCGATACGCCGAAAGCACCCCAGGGATATGCAAATCCCAATCTGATTGTTTTTCACTGACCGTATGACACAGCATGGCGGACAGGGTCCGATTTAACCGTTCCACCATACCATCCGTTTGTGGGTGATAGGGGGATGTCCGTATCTTTTTAGTTCCAAGAGCCGCACACACCTCCCCAAACAATTTAGACGAAAAATTCCGGCCTTGGTCTGTAAGGAGCCTCTCCGGCGCCCCCTTGTCCATAACATACCCAAATAGAAATGCGTCTGTGATAGACGCCGCTGACTGGTCCGGCAAAGGCCAGGCCATCGGCCAGCGGGAGAGGTACTCCACCCCCACTAGCAAATACTTATTTCCCCTAGCGGATGGCGGAAAGGGTCCCAAAATATCTAACGCCACCAATTCATTAACCCGAGATACCTGAATAGATTGTATCGGCGGCACATATGGATGTTTAGGTGGCTTCCGGCGGGCACAATCGGGACACGCACGAACGTGACCGACGACATCTGTCGACATGCCGTGCCAATAATAGTCTCGCTGCAGCGTCAATAGGGTCTTCTGCACCCCCAGATGTAAAAGTGTGTCACAATGCAGAGTCCTAATCAATTCGTACCGCAATGATGCCGGTACAACCAGACGCCAGCGTTCCTGTATCCCTTCCCTCCACATCAGCAACCCATCTCGGAGAGCGGATTCCGGCGCACCACCCGCGCCGAGTCCCCTACTCGCCTTTTCCGATCACTTTCGTAACGTTACCAAGGAATCATCCAACATTTGCTCCAGAATCCACACAGACCTCGGGAGACGCAAAATCCCATCAGCCGGTCCCCCATCAACCGGTCCCGGCTTAAGCGGAGCTTCAGGCACATCAACCGCCAGCGCGACAGGCTGAGGGGGGTGCTGAATCGGTCCACACCTATGCGTCCCCGACGCACACGCGCAAGGGGATCGCTGCGGCAACCTGGAAAGCGCGTCCGCATTAGCGTGACGCACACCCTTCCGATGTTGAATTTGGAAGGAAAATTCTTGCAGCGTGTCCAGCCACCTTGCCAATTGGCCGGACGGCTGGTCCATCTTAAGAGCATACTGCAAGGCCGCATGGTCCGTGCGGACAATAAACGACCGACCGTACAGATACGGTCGAAATTGGCGGAGAAAAAAAACAATAGCCAAAAGTTCCCTGCGAGTGACGCAGTAGCGGGTTTCCGCGGGAGACAAAACCCGACTACCATACGCCACTACGCGTTCAACTCCACCTTTTGACTGAGACAACACCGCCCCAATGCCAGTGTCACTCGCATCCGTATCCAGAATGAAGGGATGTTCAAAATCCGGATAATCCAACGTCGGTGCCGTAGCCAATAGATCATGCAGGCTTCGAAACGCCGCCTCCTCCGGCGGTCCCCAAACAAATTTGTGTCCTTTCCCCGTAAGGAGATGCAAAGGCCTCGCAATCGTAGCAAAATTTGGAACAAACCTCCGATAATAAGAGGCGAACCCCAAAAACCGGCGCACATCACCCACCGTGGCCGGGGTTGGCCAATCACGGACACACGCAGTTTTCTCCGGATCTGTGGCCACCCCGTCCGCACTAACAATATGCCCCAAGTATCGAACGGAGTGTTGCAGTAGGTGACATTTTTTTGGCTTGAATTTCAAATTAGCAGAACGCATCCTGGTGAATACAGCCTCCAACCGCAATAAATGCTCATCAAATGTGCGGCTGAAGACGATAATATCGTCTAAATATATCAAACATGTCTCCCACTGCAACCCCGTTAATACCAACTCTATCAACCTCTGAAAAGTGGCAGGGGCCGCATTCAACCCCATCGGAAGACAGTTAAATTGGAATAACCCCTGCGGCGTACGGAAAGCAGTCTTTTCTCGCGAGGGCTCGTCAAGGGGGAGCTGCCAGAAGCCCGAAGAGAGATCTAGCGTTGAAAAGAACTTGGCCCCCGACAAGGCGTCGAGAGAATCGTCCATACGCGGCAGGGGGTACGCATCTGCTACCGACACTTAATTCAACTTACGAAAATCTACACAAAATCGCAATTTGCCATCCTTCTTTTTAACCAACACATGGGCTGTTAGACGGAGATATTATGTCCGCGTTCAACATGTAATCCACTGCCCCTCGAACATGCTCTCGCTCAGCCGGACTCATCCGACGCGAGTTTAAGCGAATAGGGGCAGCGTCCCCTGTGTCGATATGATGATAAAGCAGCGAGGTGCGTCCCAAGTCCAAATCATCGGAGCTAAACACATCCGAATAACTCGATAATAATTTACGAATCGCACAACGTTGTTCGCCGGAAAGGGCTGAATTTTCCCCACACAATTCAGCAATCCAACAATCATCCACCGCTCCATCGTGTGAAACACCCCCAACCAGCCCCCCGCTGGACAGATCACTGTGAGCCGTAAACGCCGTAGTGGCATGTGCCACAACGGTACCAGCCGGTACACACACGCTTTCGGTACTCGCGTTAAGCACCTGCAAAAACGGCCGCTGATCTGGCCGGACAATAGTTTGCGCCCCCACCAGCGCCGATCCGCCCGTAATAGCGGCGGACGGCGACAGCAAAACCCCAAAAGCTCCCTGCCGACCAGGCACCGGCTTCCGATATCGTAAGGGAATGAGCATCTGTGAGCCAGGTGGAATATCAACAGAAACTTCCGATAACGCCTGCACCTGGGCGACAGGAGCAGGTCGCCCCCAGGCGGACGGTAAAAATGCCATTTTACGGCCCCCCGGCAATTCAATGCAGTTTTCATTGATTCGAATTAGAATGGGCATTTTAGCGAGAAAATCAGTACCCAACAGGCAAGGAACCGCAAGGGACCTCGAAATTAACACAATTCCCGAGGCCGACACACCCCCGATAGATATGTTAGCGTCCACCTGCCCCACGATGCCCATGCTACCCCCGTTCGCAGCGACGCAAGAAGCGTAAGCTGGACTCACGGCCCCTGGTGGGATGTTCAAAAGGTGGAATATCACGTCCGAAATGATGGTCGCGGACGCACCGGAATCCACCAAAATACGTACGTCCACCCCTTGGATCTACCCGGGTACAGTGGACGAACCGGTAGCGGCCGCGACAACCCGCCGAGCCAACTTGCGCCACTGCGTTACCGAGCGACAAGGCGCAGATAATGGCCTCCCGTATTTAACAACATCCGCCTCGCACGACAACAGCGATGAGTGAGGTGTCAAGCCTTGCCGGGTGTCTGGTGCGCACCGACTTGCCTGTGCTGTAGAATCTTTCTTGGGAGCGTCCGCTGTCGAGGCCTCCTGCTGGGGCGGACCCGGAACGCGGGCCCAGCAGTCCCTGGCATAATGGCCCCGACGGCCGCAGCGGAAGCACTCGATGTCGCTGCGGCGCGCAGCGGGCACCCCGTCCCGACGCGGCCGTATCGGCGGCGCAGCCCGCGGCCCCGGCCCACCCCGGGCCGGCCACGGAGCGGAGGCGGCTGACAGCTCCTGCTGGCTGCTCCCATCCGGCACGTACACGGCCTTTTTAGGGTCCCACCCTAAGGCACCCCCCTCGACGACAGGACCACCTGTCCACGCCGTAACTTGTTTCCAGCGGCGGAGGTTAAACTGGGCGTCCAGACACTTCGCCGCAGCCCGGGACGTGAGTTTTTCATGACCGCACACCGGCATAGGAATGCCGAGATCCCGGAACAACTCCAACATCTTCCCCAGGATGAGAGGTTCCAGCAGGTCAGGCTCCGTCTCCGGGTAAGCGGCCATAACTAGCTCCAACACCGCGCCCCTATACGCAACCGGTGACTCCTCGGGTGCGCGTTGTCGTTGCACAAACCGGCGATGGGCATCATCCGGCGGCTCGTACGCGTCCGCCATTTCGTCGAACACCCCTCGCAGAGTCTTCTTCTTCGCGGCTTTTATAGAGCGAAAAAAACGAATGGACTCATCATCGAGAAGGGTCGGAAGAACCTCCAGTGCCTCGGCGTCCGTCCACCTCGCTGAGCGTACTGCTGCCAGAAATCTACAGGCGAACGCACTCCAATCGCCCCCGATGGAGAATTCCTTGACAGTTGTTAAGTGACGACTGCGACTCCTTGGCTTGCTCCCTCCGGCCGCTGGCTCCTCCGGTGGCAAATTTAACATGGCGTCGCAACGCGGTGTCGACAAGATGGTGGCTGGCAATCGTGGAGGTCCCAAAATGGCGGCTTCCCGCTCTTCGTCGTGCGCCACGCCCAAGATGGCGTCGTCGTGCCGCGTGGCCGATGGCGGCGACATCGAAGACAACCCGGACTCCTGCGGACCACCAACATCTCTATCCGACGCCGCCCTCGGCGTGACAAGCTCACACAACTGAGTAATGACATTCTTGAGAGTTACAAGTTGCTCCGCCATCTGGCTCCATCTTGAATCCGCGTCCTTTGGAGCAGACGGGTCCGCCGACACGACGACATCTTGGACCCCCGGACCCGCACTCATCCCAGCACGGATCTCTTCTTCTGCCAGAGTCAGGCCGACTTCAGGAGGAAGATCTTCGTCGTCGGAAGATGAAGCCGATGCCGGAGACGGAATATTATTTTTTCTGAGTTGTTTCGCCATGCCGTTTCACTTCTGACTCCAGTGTAATAAAAGACTCGGACGCTTCTCTCTGACTCCGTGTCCTTTATTTGGGTTCTTCGTAATTACCCTCACGGCACTCTCTTAGAGATACTCTGCTTGCAGCCCCCGGCTGCTATCACTATTGTAGCCTCCTTCCTCTCCTTGCAGACTCGCTGCTAACTCCGTGTGCAGACTCCCGCTGCCAACTCCGTATGCAGACCCCCGCTGCCAACTCCGTGTGCAGACTCCCGCTGCCAACTCCGTGTGCAGACCCCCGCTGCCACCTGCAGCCTCCTCGCTGCTCCGGGTCGGTCACCGTTGGCCGACGGTGCCGAACCTCGTTCCCCGCATACGTGGCGATCTCGCCACTCTCTTCGCTCTCGCCCTACGTGGCCTACCTCGTCCTTAGTCTCCCGTCACTCCCTCTCCTCTTCCGGTTTCTCTCCCTATAGACCTGACCCCTCTCCCCCACGTGACCTAACTCCTCCCCTCATGACGTCACCTCCGGGAGGTCGTTCACGCCCGCATTACATTAGGATTAAGGTGGTTGGTAGTGGTGGTGATTGCGACGAGATGAGACGATTGCCTACATGATACTCATGAAGAGACTTGCATTTTCTGTAGCCACCGACCGGCCTAAGCACAAACAGCATGTTACGTGGGGTTGTCTGCCTGGCAGCTGATTGGCTGGGGCAGTAAGCAGCAGTCGCTGCCCCGTGCCCTACACTTGTAATCTCACCAGGGCACGTGCATTGCCTTCGGATTTATTTACGTTTTCTCTCAGGGCCCTTCGAATCTTATTACGTTTACAGCATTGCCCCGTTCCCAGGCCCCTGATGATCACCTTGCTGGGCTGGGGGTTGTTCCTGCGGTTTCCAGAAGCCGTTCCGGAGCGAATGGGCTGCGTAGGCCCCACGGGCTTCCACGAGAAGGCATGCGTGTACTCAGCAGGCTCTGCCCAGGCCCCGGCCATATCCCCATGGGCGAGCAGACCTCGAGCCGACCCTGGGCTGAGACGGCAAAGCAGAGACCACACACGTGCTCACTCACGCCACATCACTCCATGCATGCGTGGTTCGATCCCGATGCTAACGCCTGTATATTTGGAGTTTGCATGTTCTACCCGTGGTCGCATGGATTTTTCTCCGGTTTTCCCCTCCACATTTAGAAACTACATCCGTTTAGAGTATTTGGCTGCTATACATTTCCACGTGATAAGCCACTTCTTTGAGCTAACATTTGTGGCCAGGTCGCTTCTGAAAAAGAACTACATAAGGCAGTGGGCCTTCCCTGGTGAAATAAAAAGTTTAGTTTAGAATGCCAGGCTCCCAGAGTGCTCCGCTGTTATCAGTCCCATGGCCTCTGGCTGAGGAGGAATGATGTTCAATCTTAATTTTGGAGCTTTCGTGACTGCATGAATTATTCTTTGATTCTTTCGGTAAAGTCACGTACAAAGATAAAATAATAAATTAAATAATAGCATACTACGACGTTTCGATTGCAACACAAGCAATCATCATCAGGTATAAAAGAAATAGCAACAAAAATCTAACCAGAAAACTATAGACAGACATATAAGCAGACAGACATCATAAAGATACACAGAGAGAGAACACGTATCGGCACAAAGATAGAGGTCGTCTCTGTGACGGGGCCTTAAATATAGAGAGGGGGCGGGGGCGGAGAGAGGGAGGGGGCAGAGAAAAAATTAGCATGTCAATGAGTGGACAACAACGTGGTACGGTACGCAAGCTTGAAAATTAGGAGAAAGACACACTAAAATTAAATAACCTAGTAAAATATCGAAATGTAATGTAATGCAACACAGAGAGTCGGTCAACACACAATTAACGCATAGCCCGGTTGATTACGTATTTCAAAGTTTGCTAAGTTAGAATTTAAGTGTGAAAATTCCAAAGAGAGGACACAGGCAGAGAGAGAAAACAAAAACCAGAGAGAGAGAAAAAAGATAAGCTTAAAACTTCCCCGTAGAAGTGGTTCAATCTTAATTTTGGAGCTTTCGTGACTGCAGGAAATATTCTTTGGTTCTTTCGGTAAAGTCACGTATAAAGATAAAATAATTTTCACACTTAAATTCTAATTTAGCAAACTTTGAAATACGTAATCAACCGGGCTATGCCTTAATTGTGTGTTGACCGACTCTCTGTGTTGCATTACATTACATTTCGATATTTTACTAGGTTATTTAATTTTAGTGTGTCTTTCTCCTAATTTTCAAGCTTGCGTACCGTACCACGTTGTTGTCCACTCATTGACATGCTAATTTTTTCTCTGCCCCCTCCCTCTCTCCGCCCCCGCCCCCTTTCTATATTTAAGGCCCCGTCACAGAGACGACCTCTCTCTTTGTGCCGATACGTGTTCTCTCTCTGTGTATCTTTATGATGTCTGTCTGCTTATATGTCTGTCTATAGTTTTCTGGTTAGATTTTTGTTGCTATTTTTTTATACCTGATGATGATTGCTTGTGTTGCAATCGAAACGTCGTAGTATGCTATTATTTAATTTATTATGTTATCTTTATACGTGACTTTACCGAAAGAACCAAAGAATAAGGAATGATGTTGCATAACTTACCGTATCGCCTGGTTGACCTGGCTTCTCGGAGGCCCGAACTCCCTCTGGCTTGTCGTCTCGTACACCTTGAACTCGTCTGCGCACACGTTGAGGGCAGCAGCAGCAACTGGTTAACGTTAAGAAGATATACAGCCTCAAGTCAGGCCTGAGGACCATCTTCATGCCTCAGATCTGCTAGCCTGTGGATGCAATACTGTACATAATGTTATTTACACCTTTTGGGGTGGATACAACTATAAACTATTATTTTACTAGGTAAGGCCCACTGAGCTATATAACTCTTTTATAGAAGCGACCTGGTCACAAATGATAGCCCAACGAAGCGGCTTTTCACGTGGAAATTTATAGCAGCCAAATACTCTAAACACATTTATAAATGTGGAGGGGAGAACCGGAGGACCCGGAGAAAAATTCACGCGACAACGGGGAGAGAGACATGCAAACTCCAAATATACAGGTGTTCGGGGTCCGGAACAAACCCACGACCACATGTATACCAGGCGAGGTAGTTAACATCTCACCACCGTGGCACCCAGGATCGACGTTCTTGCCATCCCCAGCAACATAACGCCCAGCGCTCTGCCCTTTGTGGTTGTAATCCAACACAGATAGCATCCAGAACACACAATAATCTGGCTTTTCCCCCACTTTCATTATTCAATTTATTTACAAACAAGTGACTATTAAAATAACGATTGACAACGCAACTCCTATAGTATGCACGCTTGAGCGTAATAATGTAATATGTGCAACAGCTCTTATCGACGAGTATTTTTGTATCCACCAACTGATGTATCCATCAATATTCCACATTATAAACCCTATCGTTGTTATGACTGCACGTGGGTTGCATATAATTGCTGACAACCGCTATCCACTGCACGCTACAGCTAGCTAAACAGACACGGTATACAGGAGGTCGTGGGTTCAATCCAAACCGTGACGCTTGTATATTTAGAGTGTGCATGTTCTCCACGTGGTCTTGTAGAATGTTCTCCAGGTCCTCCGGTTTTTCCCTCCACCTTCAGAATCAACATTACGCGTTTCAAGTATTTGGCTTCTAATATATTTTTCCACGTGATAAGCCGCTTTGTTGAGCTATCATTTGTGATAGCCAGGTCGCGTCTGGAAAAGAGCTACGTGGCTCAGTGCGCCTTACCTGATCAAATAAAATGTTCAGTTTAAAGAGGTGGGTCTTCAAGAGAAACTTAAATCGCTCTAACGATTCTATCTTATGACCAAAGGTGAAGGGTTCCATAGTCTGGGAGTTGTATTCAGGAAATGAGCCTTGACCTTGGAAGTACTTAGAAGAAGGTGCTCCGATACGATTCAATAAGTGGGAAATGAATCATGACAGAAAGTATTGATGACGGTCGATGATCAAGAATGATAATGGAGTCGCAGCTCGGGGAATTGAACGCATCAAACCCGGGCGTCTGCCTAGGTAGGAGATGGAGGGATGGAATCGATTGATGTACAGGTGCCGGATGGATTGTTGAATCGCAGGCATCATGCGTGGTGGCCGCAGCTTGGGGAGGCCTTTATCCAGCAGTGAATTGATCATGGCTGCTGCTGATGATGATGATAAATAAGATATGTGGCCTGTGCGTTCCGCTGTCGTAGTGAGGATGTCCTTACGCTGATCCATCACTGCCGTGCGTGGCCTCACTCGCTGCTGCCAACACGCCGAACGGCAGATCTCCTCCTGCTGCTGCTGCTGCAAGCGGGAGTCACATGTAGGGGTTAGGATCTGCGACAGTTCCAACAATGGGAAATTATCTGCCATCGAAAGATATGTTTCATTGGGGCGGTAACATGGCCAGTGGTAGCATGTTGGGCCGCTTGCTGTATATAATAAGAATCAGAATATTTATACTGGAGGAATCCGATGAGCTATACATCTTTTTTTCACAAATATCGAGTCAATGGCGTGTCAGAACATTACAATAACAAACAATACAAAAACACAATAGGATGGTTAAATAGGCACAGTCGTCCTGGTTAATACTCCAGGTGTATTAACTGGTGTAAAGTAGGAGCCGACACCAGATTGCAGGGGTCTCGTCCTTTATTCCTTTCCTTCCATCCACACCTGTCCCCAGCCGTCCCAATCTCGTTCCCGCCAAAGGCCCCTTCTTCCCGCCCGTTCTCTCCTTATATCTCCTCGATCACCCCTCCCACTAACCCATCTATTGGTGGGAATCCTTCCCCTGACACCCCTACATCACCCCCCCCCCCCCCCCCCGGAGAAAAAATAACCGTCCTCGGTTCTGCCTCCCCCATGGACCATTTAAGTCTCCCCATGCCTCCCACCACTGACAGTGACGACAGCCCTTACCCCCCCCCCCCCACAACCATACAATGCAATATAACACAATGAAATCAATTGCGCGGCCTGCCCAGGTCTCCAGCCAGCATCCCGTAACAGCCCGGACATCCACAGGCAGCAGATGACCGTGGCGGCCCCCTCCTTCGAAGGCCCTCTCGTCGCGGTCCCTGGTTCGGTGGTGCCGGTGTCGCCTCGCATGGCGCCGCTGTCTCTCCGGCCCCCGCTCGTGCCGCCGCTCCGTCAGGCCTCACATGGGGTGCTGTAGGTGACAAGGGAACACAGGGCACCGAACCCCCTGCCGGTCGGCGCGTGGTGGTCGGCGACCTTGGCCTGGGTAGGGATGATGATGATGTTGGCAGTGATGTTGGTGGTGATGTTGGTGAAGATGACGGTGGAGAGATGTATGGCTTAAGGCGGGTGGGGTGTACAAACCATCGTCGCTTACCCAGTTGGACCTGGACGCACTGCGGTCGGAGTGCTTTAATGACCTCGACCGGCCCTTTCCAGGGTCGGTACAGCTTTGGTGAGAGGCCAACCGGCACCTGAGGACAGTGTAGCCATGCCTGGTCCCCGACTTTGAAGGGCTTGGCTGTCACTGTCCTCTCCCGTATCCGTACATTACTCTCTTGGCTCGTGGCCGATGCGGCCTCGGCTGCTTGGCGGGCCTCTCTCAAATAAATGAGGGAGGTCTTTAGTGCCTTCGGCCATGCGTCGGCTCTTGCAGGAATGTCCGTCAGCTGCACCTCAATAGGCGGAACGGGATCCCGTCCGTACATCAGGAAAAACGGCGAGAACCCCGTCGCCACGTGTGGGGCCACCCTGTACGCCGCTAAGACCGATGGAATGTGGAGGTCCCAGTCGGAATGGTTTTCGTCCACCACTTGGGACAGCATGGCCGCTATGGTGCTGTTAAGCCGCTCTACCATCCCATCGGTCTGGGGATGATATGGAGATGTTCGGACCTTTTTAGTGCCCAGGATAGAGCAGACGTCCTTCAATAGCTGTGAGGAGAAATTCCTGTCCTGATCCGTGAGCAACCGCTCCGGTGCTCCCTTATCAAGGACATAGCCTCCCACGAAGGCATCGGCGATGGTCTGTGCCGTTTGGTCCGGGAGGGCCCACGCCATCGGCCACCTCGTGCAGTACTCGACTCCGACCAACAGGTATTTATTTCCCCGTGGCGTGACCGGCAGCGGTCCCAGGATGTCCAATGCAACCAATTCGTTGACCCTGGTCACCGTAATGGGCTGTAGGGGCGCCTGGCTTACCCGGGGTGGCGGCTTTCGCCGCGCACATTCGACGCAGGTAGCGACCCATCGATGCACGTCAGCGGTCATACCTGGCCAAAAGTACCGATCCTGTAATGTGTACAGTGTCTTCCGCCCTGCCAGGTGCAGCAGCTGGCGGCCGTGTACGTCCATAACCAATTGTTGACGCAGTGACTCCGGAACTACCAGGCATCGCCGGCGCCCTGTCGGGTCCCATCGCATGAGGAGATCCTCCCATACGATGTACTCCTCCCCCCCTGCCTCTGCTGAGGCGCGTAGTGTTCGCAGTGGGGCTTCCTCCAGCTGTAGCCATCTCCAATCGTCCAAGGTCAGCCCCAGGTCGTGGTCGGCCAGCTGGACCTCACCCTGTGCGCCCTCCGCCGTGCGTACGGGAGCGATGACCGTCCCCTCCGGCCTCGCCTCCTTGCAGCGTGCCCCGCCTGTGGTGCATGCACAAGGGCCCTGGGGCGCCAGTCGGGACAATGCGTCTACGTTGGCATGTCTGGTCCCTTTGCGATGCACTACTTGGTACCTGTACTCCTGCAGGCGCTCTATCCATCTGGCCAGCTGGCCCGAAGGCTGGTCGATGCGGAGCGAATACTGCAAGGCCGCGTGGTCAGTGCGGACCGTAAATTTGCGACCATACAGGTAGGGTCGGAATTGCTGCACGAAGTGAACGACTGCCAGGAGTTCCCTACGTGTGACGCAGTAGCGCTGCTCCGCTGATGAAAGCACGCGACTACCATAGGCGATAACCACCTCCCGACCCTGCTGGACTTGCGACAAAACACTGCCGATGCCCACATCGCTGGCGTCCGTGTCCAGGATAAAGGGGAGGCCAAAATCCGGAAAGGCCAATGGTGGTGCATCTGTCAGACGCGAGCGCAGCTGCTGGAATGCCTCTTCCTCCAGAGGGCCCCAATAAAACCTCTGGTTCTTCGCCGTCAACACGTGCAAGGGCTTGGCAATGGTTGCGAAGTTGGGCACAAACCGGCGGTAGTAAGAAACGAAACCCACAAACCGGCGTACCTCCGGAACCGTTGTGGGAACAGCCCAGGCCCTCACACAGGCCGTCTTTTCCGGGTCTGTAGCCACTCCAGACTCACTGACGACGTGGCCCAAGTAGCGTACCGACGACTGCATAAGGTGGCACTTCGATGGCTTGAGCTTCAAGTTCGCGTTCCGGAACCGCAGGAATACCTGACGTAATCGGTCAATGTGTTCCTCGAATGATCGGCTGAAAACAATGACGTCATCCAGGTAAATGAGGCACGTTTCCCATTGGAGGCCTGCTAAGGCCAACTCCATTATGCGTTGGAACGTTGCCGGCGCAGTCTGGAGGCCCATAGGCAGGCAGTTGAACTCGAACAGGCCCTGTGGTGTCCGGAACGCTGTTTTAGGCCGGGAGTCCGCGTCTAGTGGAACCTGCCAGAACCCGGACAACAAATCCAGCGTACTGAAAAATTTTGCTCCTGCCAGTGCATCCAATGAGTCGTCGATACGTGGTAGGGGATATGCGTCGGCCAGCGTGACGGCATTTAGGCGTCGGAAGTCCACACAGAATCTCAGTGACCCATCTGACTTCTTGACTAGGACCACCGGTGCCCCCCAGGGACTCGAGGATGGAGAAATTATGTCGGCCCGCAGCATCTCCTGCACCGCTTGTTGAATGTGCCCTTTTTCCATTGGGCTCATTCTATATGTGTTTTGGCGCAGGGGTGCGGCATCTCCCGTGTTGATGTGGTGCTGCGACAGATTTGTGCGCCCTAGGTCGAACGGTCCCCGGCTGAAGACGTCCGAGAACTCCTGCAATAACGAGTGCAGCTGCTGTTTCTGGTCGGGCGGCAATCCCGGCTCAGGCCCCGCCAGCTGGTCCATCCACGATTCGGCCCCTCTGTCCTCGGACTGGCTGATGCTGCCTACAAGCTCGGGCTTTGTCCCTGGGGCTCCTAGTGACAAAGGACTAACGTGGGCCAAAACTGTTCCCTCCTGCACCGTCGCTGTTCTATCGGAGGTGTTCAGCACCTGAATGAACAGATGCTGGTTCCTCTGTACAATAGTTTCGGCTCCCACCAGCGCATGGCGATCCATGGCAGCTGACGCCGGAGACACCAGGATGGGTGAGTCTGGTCGGGCTGTCACGAGGGGGGACCGATATTGCAGCGGAACCAGCATCTGGGCTGCCGGGGAAATGGAGACAGACTTACTGACCAGAGCCTGCACGTAGGGTACACCCCGGCTGGCCCCCTCCGCCTTTAGGAAATGGAGATGCGTTCCCTGGACTTCCACCCGCCCATTGGCCAGATCGATTTTCATTGGCATCCGCCTCAGAAAGTCCGTCCCCAACAGGCAGGGTACGGGCAACGTTGCGGAGACAAGGATGGGTCCTGCTACCGAAAGCTGCCCAATCTGTATCGGGGCTTCAACCTGGCCCAGGAAGCCCATGCTGCCTCCATTTGCTGCAATGAACGTTGTCTTGACGGGGACTAAAGGTCGGATTTTATCCGGCAGCATCTCGTGCATGGTGCTCGAGATGATCGTGGCTGATGCCCCCGTATCCACCAAGATACGTGCCGACACTCCCGCGATTTCACCGACCAGGACCGAGGTTCCTGACGTGGCCGCTACCACCCGCCTTGCCAGCTTCCTCCATTGTGTGGCTGAGTCCGGCCACTGACCAGGCGGCGTCTCGTTATCCTGTGGTGCATGGTGAAATGATGGGGGATGGATGTGAATAGACTGAAGATGGGGTTCCTCCCTTTGGAGTGCATCGCAGCAAGGTGAACGCGCCCTTGTTACATAGTGTGGGCTTACCCCTGGGTTGCGGGCTGGGCTCTCTATGTGGTGCAATTTGCCCCCCTTTGGTGACGTAGGATGGGCCCCCCTTGTGGTGTGGGGGGCCCCCCCCATTGTAGGGGGCAGTGGGGACTGGGGGGTGGGCCTTCCCGTGAGCCCCTCCCTTCTCCCCTCCCTTTCCTTTGTCACGGGGGCGTGGTCCCCCTGGTTCCGTCTCGCTCTGCCGCAAAGCGGTGGCGAGGCGGGCCGTGGAACTGCTCCAGGGCGCAATGTCAATCTTGTGGGCTGCCTCCGCCCCCGGGCCGTTGCCCCTGGCAACTCGCC